ACCTACCTCCAGTTGAAGGTGTAAACTAGAAGCAAGTTGTCTGAAAGCTTTTATATATCATTTTCTAGTATAATTTAAATATATAGACGACATTAAATAATATTCTATCCTGAGATCAAATGATGGAAAGCTTGAGAATAATAAAGGGGATATTTTATATGAAAATAAAGGAAAGCACTTGATAAGAAGCCTTTTTACCTCGAGGAAAAACTGCAACCGTCTGTCGTTTTTACTTTGTGTAAAAACGTTTGCCGAATCTTCGACGTTTCTCTACAATGTATACCTATTTCCAGTCTTTTTTTCCTAAACGTCAATCGAATATAGGTTTTCTTTCTTAATTTACTATTCTCCTAACTTCAGACTTTTATTTGACATCTGTAAGAAAACCTACTTCTCTAAATATGTTTATCTAAATCACACTGCACAAACACATTAATGACTGGTAAATTTTCTTTTCATAACTACGCTGCCAGTGCAAAGTGACACTCCCAGTCATAGAGATCTACAAAAAAGTGAGTTACTGTGGCAAAAATAATAATATATCCTGACTGTTTACTGCATACGAAGTCAAATATGCTTGCACTACATACAGTTATTTTTCCTCACAATCGAACAAATAAATGAGAAAGTAAATGACTGATATTCGAAAGCTTTATTCAACAAACTAATTTCAAGCATTGTAACATTTCCAAAAAGTAAATTTTTTTAGAAAACTGTCTATCAAAATCTGTCAAGCTGTTCTGTGAATTCCGAAATTACAGAAAAATCATGTTATGAAATTTATAGACAACATGTTTCTTAAAACCACCGAAAAGTTGGTTCATGACTCATGGTCTTGTTTGTTAACACTTGCGCATCTACCAGTCAAACAGCAACCAAAGATCATCCTCTTTAATTGCTACTAACAATATCGCATTTCCTTTTTCGACCACAGTATACTCCACCAGGCACTTTATCTAAGTAACCTTACTTTGCACTATCATAAGATTTCCCAAACTTTTTTCACCGAGCGGAGACGACAAAAACCTTGATGTTAGTGCGCTTAAGTGTTAGGAACAAAAAAACACTCATTCTTCGTTTGCTGCTGTAAAATCGACACTTCTGCAGTGCTCCTTTGGACAAAGTGACCAGTAGTGTGAAGTTACTGGCCAACTCAGTTTTTATGACGTAGGACGAAATGTAGGGTGTGGAAGTTTGATAAGCATTATCCATTGACCTCGCGATCATGAACATCTAAAATTTAAAATCACAGTTCGACTAACAGAGTAAACTTACAAATGTATTTGTCATATCTTCTTTCTGCAGACGTATATTCGGAATTGGTAATTCCTCTTCAGAAGACATACGGAAATTCAAGGTTGACAGTCCACTATCATCTTCATTTGGATGATTACACAAGGCTGAGTGATTTTGCGAAATTAGTTAGAGGGCATAAACACTCTAGTCAGATAATGCCGAAGTCATGTTTTGAAGTACAATATGCTATTGATTGAATTTTGGACAATAAATTTAACACAAAAGGTAACACTCTGCTGCTAATGTGCTGCTAAAAGGCGTAGACACTGACAACAATGTTTCTAGTTCTACAAAACTAAAGAATTAAAATTCTCAATTAATGCACCACAACTTAATAATTTCGCTCAATTCTATCAAGCTTCCGTCATTGGGACAAAATCGATAAACTTCGAGACAGTCCTTTATAATATTTCGGGTGAACTTTGGGATCCTGAAAAAAATCCAAAGTTTTTCAAGGTCTCGGAGTTCTTGTAAAATGCTTCTGCCCAGGCCTAAGAGTTTAACCGAGAATTTAGCCTAAATGTCTCAACGTTGGAAGTTTTTATTGAGAAAAAATTCTAACACTTTTGCTTGTTCCTGTTTTTCATCTGAAATTTATGATGTCTAAGATAAAGGCGGAAATTGTTTAAGTTCACAAATGCCCTGAATGTCCTAAATCGAATACATAGATTTTTATCCTCATTATTTCACAATCGGTGCTAATAATAAGGTCATGATCGTCTGATTATATCTTCAGGACATAAAAGAACAAAAATTGAGCAATTTTGTATGTCTATTATCTTCATGTGTCGCAGATAATTTGTTTGCCAGAATTTTATTAAATGAAAATTGGAATCTATAAAGTGATCGTGGAATTTACGGTTTGCTAGTTTAGCCTCCAGGAAGTCTAGCTCTTTGGATGTTCAGATTAAAAACTACAGCGAACAAGTCAGGGTGCATATGTTGTACCGTTTATAATTTCCACCGAAGATTTCTTAAATATTCTTGAAACGTCTTAGATCTGTCAGACAATTTTTGAAACATATTAGTTAAAGCATTCATTCGAAAAGTATAGACATAAATGTTGGTGGAACTTACTTGCTGGAAACAGGCAGCCATGTTGGCTGTACAGTCAGTATGCTTACAATAACAGAAATCCAATTTTTGAAGAGCTAATGTGTAAAAATTAAATAAACGAATGCATATCTTGGTAATAGGCTAATCTTCAATAAAGAGGTTAACTTTGGGATAGTAAACTTAACCAAAGCCAACATCCATTTCCATAGCCTCCATTTCCTCGGCAGTGTACGCACTTTCTAAATGTGTTTCATACATTTTGGTGAATTTTAAGATTTATTGTAAAGGTTCCAGCTTAGGGAAATTTCAGGTAAGGTCTGGCTAAAAATCCCAGGTCTTAGTAAATTTTGGGTGTTCTTGTTGCATTTTTTCCAGAATTTTTGATGAGACTATCACGACATTAATCCATTTTTTCTCAATCCTGTAAGCTTGGATGTTTGATGATTTGTGATAAAAAATAAGCTTCTGAATTTGAAATGATAAACAGTTTTAACACTAGGATAATGAGTATTTATATAAGAATTGTTAAGTTTTTGTCAGCTATGATGTAAAAATGAATTTCACACTAAATTTTGAATGATTTGCGTTTATACTTTACTTCTGCCGACATACTTAAATCAATTTCTGTTTAAAAAATATTAGTGTGAGTCATTTTTCTCAAAGATTTCACAAATAAGTCAGTCAATTTAATCAACTTTTCATGTCTTTAGTAATCAGTTTTTTGTAGGATATTAGGATTTTTTTTAACTTGTTTGCATTTGAAATAAAACTGTTCCATCAAGTACTCATAAAAAATGAACAAAAATTGGTTAAGTCGAATAAATGGCCTTTTCAATCAGATCCATCTGGTAGTTCGATGAGATTATATTGAGCAATCTAGGGTAAAACGAATAAAAAATGGGCCCAATAGTAACTAGAGAATTTCTTTTGAGTTCATTCTTTGTCAAACAAAGGTTCGGACCCGTCTACTAGCTTGTAAGATTTGGTATTCAATTTATAAACGTAATGCTATTTGAACTGAAAAATATACATATTTCATCATAAACATTAGAATTTCATAATCTTGCATGTCTCTTTTTTAAAAAGGCATCGATTAAAAAATAGATGAAATTTACAGTCGTTAGGCTTGGTCATTGTGTTATAATTTCACTATCTGATCGTACAAAGTCTCAAGTAATACATTTTGCAGATGCTGAAATTCCTTTCGGCTAAAAAAGCATCCATTTTTTCGGCTTGTAGGCAGTTTTAATCATAGTTTAGAACCGTTAGCAAATGGTTTTTGTCAATATTAGTCAAAATTCAAGCAAACACTCTGACATAAATTGGATACCAAATATACAGAAGATATTAACTGTAGAGGTTATGTATGAAAAACTCTCAGCAATTGAAACGTGAATATTTTTCCTATCATTCTAAACACAGTTTTTGTAAGAAAACAATGTGAAAATGAAATAACCTAAAACAAATAAAATTTGAAACAGATTTGTACTATTCACATTTTTTTGTGTACTATAGGAATATCATTCATTTGTTGTTAAGTTTGAACATCATATAGCATTTGTAGGAATGTGTATATTTGTATGCTATTTTATTGAAAATTTAACGAACAAGTGAATTCTTTGTATATTGGTCAGGGATGTGTTAGTCGTTTTGCTTATTGTAAAATGAACATTACCATTAAATAAAGAAAGCCTTTTAAATAATATTTTCATACAGAGAATTTAAACAATAAAATATGGTATTAAATTAAAATTGACGATAAATTTAGGTATATAATTGAATAAGCAATCAATTAGGTGTTTGTAGTTGTAAAGACCAAGTTACAGGTTCTATAGTTGAAGTTAGTCTGTCAGCTACAATGTAAAACTTGGTATGCAGGTACATCAGTTCAATTTACCGTACTACGTTATGAAACAGAGATAGAATTGAAAGTTCAAATCTCATTGTAGTAGAAGCAATAGAAGTATTAGCAGTAATGGGAAAGATTAGGTTTCGAAGATATGATTCAAGAAGTATAATTCAGTGAGGTAAATTTAGAAAGCAAAAGATAGGGATGATAAGGAATTCAGAAGGTTAGAATTTCAGAAAAGTAAAACATTGGATGCACCTGAGCCATTGCAGACGATTTTGAACCATATCATTCAAAGTCTCTAACTATTGCTTACTAATATCTCACGGACCCCGACCTCTTAATCTATACTTATTAACACTACCCAGTCCAGTTGTCAATGACTTCATGGATATTTCTCATGTTTCGGTTTGGCTGCCTCTAATAACTGCAGGCAAATGTTTAGCATCATAGGTTGTCTAAAAATTAACAGTCGTCATGTTTTAACTAACTGCATTTTATTGCTTCTATTCTGATGGTTTGGATTCACTAATATATACATAACTTCATTTGTTAATCTTTCCTTTCGAGTAAAAATATCACGCATATATTTTATGCATCCTAACTCAACTGACCTGTAAGGTAAATATTGGTTACATATTACAAACATTTTCAAACATTCTTTCATGTTATAATATTATGACTCTTGATTTTTATTTGTTTATTTTTAGATTTCTCTTACATTGTTTATTTATCCAAATTCAAGAATTTACTTATTTTCAATATAAAACAACACCTTATACATATATCGTGCTAATAAATGTTTTTATTACGACTACAGCATATTCACCTCAGGCGTTCTAATGATTCAAGCTTTAGAAAAAGATTTACATCTTTGCAATATGCAAAAAATTATTCCGTTTCAATCGATCCTGAATGGATGGAGCTGGCTAAAAAAGAATTAAGAGGTAAAGATGCAGAAACTTTAGTGCATAAAAACTATGAGGTACAATGGCGTTTACTTCGTACATTCATAATTGTCTAGGGTATTAACTATAAACCATTTTATTCAATTGAAGACATACCTAATTTAATGATAGAAATTCCAGGAAAATTTCCATTTACTCGAGGTCCTTATGCTACAATGTATACTCAGAAACCATGGACCATTAGACAGGTAACAGATTATATATTTTTTTTATATAAATCATTTAAAAAAGTATGCAGGATTTTCAACTGTAGAAGAAAGCAATAAATTCTATAGAGATAACATTAAAGCTGGAGTTCAAGGTCTTAGTGTTGCCTTTGATTTAGCTACACATAGAGGTATATTGGTTCATATCATCTGATGATTTTACTCTCAAAGGATATGATTCAGATAATCCTCGTGTGTATGGTGATGTTGGTATGGCAGGTGTTGCAATTGATACGGTTGACGATATGGCTAGATTATTTGATGGTGTCCCTTTGGACAAGATTAGTACGTCAATGACTATGAATGGTGCTGTACTTCCTATACTGGCTTTTTTCATTGTTGCAGCAGAGGAACAAGTAAATTTATAACGTTTTGTTCTTCTGCTGCTCTAAATCTATCTCGTATTGTTTAGCACTTACTGAAGTCCATACAAATTAGGTCATCAACCCAATGCCCAACCCTCCTACTCTATCCGAGCCTGGGGCTGGCACTAACCTCAGAAGGGCTCCCAGGCTGAATTATCCTTCCATACTATGTCTCCAATACTCTCTATCCAATAATCAACTATGAAGAAGAAAATGAAGATAAGCCTGACTTGTGACTGCGAAAAATATAGTTTTCTAAAAAATACCACTTTAGGAACTGGGTTCCTTCCAGTTATTACTAATCACATTTAAACACTTAAATAAGAATCCAGTACTGACAAATGTCACAATCGAGTGGAGACATAAGGAAAATTAGCAGAACACAAAAGAATAGCGTAGCAAGATAATAAATCATTTGAATTTTCAAAATGTAATCTAATCTTAAACTGAACATTTATCATGTTGAATAATTGAATAATCGTGCTGTTGATTGCTTCTTATCTCGATTATCTAACTTAGAGTCAATTCAGACTTGAGTCGAATCTCACACTGTTTATTTTCAATTGACTGATATGTAAGTTAAAACTTCCTATCTATCACGATTACTGTAAATTTCCTACACAATGTGCAATCAATATCATCAGAGACTGATCCCATTTTTAGATCTGATCATTCATAATCTTATTTCAACTCGCTTATATCTTCACCAACATGGAGTGCTGAGAAGTCTGTTGAGTGTACACAATCCATGTTACAACCTTCTCAGTTAGTGCAGGCTCATAATTCTACTTACCAAGTTTCTACATTGATCCAATGCTTCACGCTTAACACAGAAGTTACATCTGCTCTTTGAACTCACTTTCGTTTAGTTAGACGGAAACCTCGCTTCTGCAACCAGTCTCTGAAGTCAACAATAAATAGTTAATTTCTGCTTTGATATTTCGTAATTCACCAGTCCACCAGAGCCAATAACACTTAAAAGGCAAGTTGCATAATTTATAAACTCAATTATTTAAATACCCAGTGTAAGACTATAGAAAAAACTAAATTTATGAAGTGTATTTCAAAGATTCGTCGTGCAAGTTGGTGGCTATCTGAATTCACTAGCTCAATAAGTAACAGGTTGATGTGTGAAACAAACGATATTTCAGTTCGTGTTGCAATGCAAAAATTAATATTTGGATCTATGTATATCCTGCTAAGTCCCAAATAGGGAAAAATATGCTTTCTGCTAGACATACTGTGGTGCGCGCTACATATAAGTAGTATATGACGCGAGTGTAAACGTAATGTCTGGCAGCAGAAGATGGGGGAAGATCAAGAAAGGAAGAGTGGGAGCATAATGGAATTTGTATGAAACTCATGAATAGTGAAATGTCAGACAATGGATTGATGATGGATTGATGTTTTGCAAATTAACGATTTACGATATGGTTTTTCTATTTTACTGAGTAACTCTGTAATGTTCGATAAATACAATTCGGTTGCCTTCACCTGTGTTCTCCTTCACTACAATACTTCATCTGTCGAAAAGAATGTACAGCAAAACGGCTATATCCTGATAAAGACTGGTTATACTTCAGTCGTTAGTTCAAACAACGGGATAACTTAGTGCCCTACTAATCAAGGAACTTTCTGTAAGACTTCTATTTTACTCATCGTAATTATCAAACATATAAAACCTTAAATTATATAAATTGACTAGAATTCAACTAAGCTTAAACATTTTCATTGAATTATTTTTCAAAATTTGAAATTCAACTTTTTTTGATTATGTTAGAGGGAATTCAAATAAATAAATAACAGTGTTGAATAGTAGTTTAACGTTACAAAAGAAAAGACTATTGAAATTTTGTATCAAAAAGTTTTAATAAAAATGAATTGTTTTTAGCTATGGGATTTTGAAGCAATTCTTCATCTTATGTGATGCTCGTTAACTGGAATGTACCTGACACATCCTAATGTTCCTATTCACAATGAAATTTGAACCTAATCTTTGAGAAATAGATAGTACCTAGCAATGGAACCTAGGATGAGCATAATGTCCTAGAGTAAACACTGACTGTGAGAGGCAAGTACACTCAGCTACTGATAAGTTTCAAGTAGAACAAAACATACGTCCTCGATTCCACCAGTAACCATTATCTATCTCTGTTAATAATACTTGTAATCTAAGAGCAATATCAAAGCAATCCATACAGGACGTACATATGCAAAATAAGATTAATTAACAAACAGTCCTAATTACCAAATACAAATGTTATTATTCTTTTAATATCTATACATTTTTTTCTATAGGGTGTAAAACAATCTGAACTAGCTGGAACTATTCAAAATGATATATTAAAAGAATTTATGGTTAGAAATACATATATTTTCCCACCGAAACCATCAATGAGAATAATCAGTGATATATTTGCTTATACAACAAAAGTAAACATGTTAATTGTCTTTGTTTGAATTTGTTTTTTACTACATCACATTACATAACGCCTGTTATCCCTAATGGAGCATAGACAGCCGAACATCATTCTCAAACCTACTCGGTTCTGGGTTTTCTTTTACAGTTCTAACTAACTGTTGTTCATTCTTTTCATGTCTGTCTCCAATTCTTGGCGTAATGTGTTCCTTGGTCGTCCTTTTTTCCCTTGATCTTCAAGATTCCAAATGAGAGCATAACTTGTGACACAGCTAATAACTTTGTGATTATTTTTGATCAGCGGTATCTGGTATCGAAAACTGTTAATAAACACTTGTATCTTGTGGATGATGGTTTTTATAGTTTGCCAAGCTTCCACTCCACACCAACAGGTTGTATCTTTTCATTTCCATAACAACTTGAATACTTCTCCCATATTGTGCGAACATTTCATATACCCATATTAATGGTTTCTCTGGTTGTCAGAAGCGGCATCAGCCTCGTGAATTCTGAAGAAACTCGGCTTTCATCATAACTTTTCTAAGTGAAGACCTTCCAACTGCCATAGCAGAGTATAAATGGTTTGGTTTATTTCTGCTAGTTAGCGATTTTTTTAGCATGTCGGTTTTCCATGAAATGAGGTGGCTAACCTCATGTATGTGAATTATATATACAATCGATCAATATATATTTAGGACATCCAGAAGACTTAAAAAAAATTGGTTTCCAATTTATGCCAAGTAAATAAAAGGTGGATTCGACACTTAGCATCATTCATTGCATCAGTGAAGAATTAAATAGGTTCATGAAATACTATATTCTACCTTACAATAATGACAGCTAATGTATTTGTTTTACAAGTGTTTCTTTACAACTAACTAACTACTTAGTACTTATGAAAATGCCATTGAATAAGTGATGTACTTAAAGTTAGATGTAATACATGAAATGATTGAAATAACTGGTTAATCACTCAAAATTGATTCATATCGGCTGTTAGTCAGTTAATATTAGAATTAGTAAATTTTGAAGTATTCTTAATCAATTATTAAGTTAAGAGTCAGTCAGTCAGTCAGTCATTTACAACATACAACTTCGTACATACGTACGTCAGTTCCATACCACATAGAGATCGAATCATCAGTTCGAACCTCATAGTAGTAGCGGTAATAGAAGTATCAGCATTAGTGGAAAAGATATGGTCGAAGATATGATCTGAGAACTACATCCCAGAGAAATAAGCTTAAAAAGGAAAAAAGAAAGATCATGAGGAATTCAGAACATCAGGATTTCAGAGAAGACAAAGAATGGATGCATTTGCTTCATTACAACCGATTTTGAGCCATGTAATTCAATGTCTCCAACCATCGATTACTATCGTCTCGTGGACCCCAACCAGGTGGTCTGCACCTACCAATATGTCTCAGTACACTTGTCGGTGACTTCATGGAAGAGTTCCATGTTTTGATCTGGCCACCTCTTGCTTTCTCTCAACCTACTCCAGCACCGTAAAATGTCGCTCGCTGAGACAGTCAGTGATTAGGCATATGTAATACATGTCCCAACCATCTCAACTGATAAAGTTTTAGTACTTCATCTATTGATTTGCCATCCCTACCTAGTACTCGTTTCCTAACACCTGCATTGTTTACTCGATGGTCTAAGCGTATATGAGCAATGCTTCGAAGACACTGATGACTGAATACTAGCAACCTACGAATATTTTCTATTCTTAGTGACCATGTTTCACAGCCATAAAGTAGGACGGAGCGAATCGATGCACATTAGAGTGACATCTCGCCTATGCCATGATTTACACAAGTTGGCAAAAGCCAATCGAGCCCTCTGTATTCATGCTGAAATTTCGTCAGACACCAAACCATCAACACTGATAAGACTACCAAGATAAGTGAAACGGTCAAGTTAACAATACTAAATAAATCATCTTTAATACCATCAACTAATATATTTTAGGAAAAGGAGTTGAAGTTTAAATAAGAAGATATATTGATGAAATAACTGATATAACTGGTTTATGTTTCATCAAACCACGTACATGTATATACATTTGTTACTGGTTGTTTAACTTTTTTCGCTCTCTAGAATATGCCTAAATTTAATTCAATCTCTATATCTGGTTATCATATACAAGAAGCTGGTGCAAATGCTATCTTAGAAATGGCTTATACTATTGCTAATGGTATTGATAATTGTCGATTAGGTGTTCAACATGCTGGTTTAAATATTGATAAGTTTGCTCCACGTTTATCATTTTTTTGGGGTATTGGAATGAATTTCTATATGGTTAGTTGAATTGATTGATTTTGTTTTGTATTTAGTTTTGTTACAACATAATGGACAAACTTTCTTCCACTGTGTGGATAAAGTTAACTTCTTTGTTTGGTCGATCTATTTTTCAACAGATTTTATTTAGTTTGGTGATTGTTCTTTAAACAAATACAGCAATGTTAATCCAAATTGGTACGTAAGCTCGAATATGATTTATTCTCACTATTAACAGAATTCATTGTTCATGTAAGCTTTTATATTAGCCTATGACTTATATATGTTATGTGTAATGGTTAGGGCATATTATTCATTTAATCAGAAAGCATTGAACAACAAGTGTCTCTTTATAATATGTACTTACTAGTGACTGATTTCAAGAAACGATTTCCAAAGTTCTCTCACGAAGCCTAGATTGTCGGAGACGGTAGATCCTCAGAAATCACCTAAATTATCCCTTGGTTTTGTAATTTATTTTTGAAAAGTTTAATTTCTTATTTTCTCAGCAAATGCTCCCTTTATTACCTTTAATTTGTATGTCCGACTTGGAAGTGCCTTAAACCTCATTGTTTAGTTTTCTCTTTTAGTGCAATATTTTGTAACTCTTTCAAGAACACATTTTGTGCTGTAGTAATAGCGCCTGAACTGAATGCTTGATAATTCGTTCGCTTGGGGCTTCTTGTAGATCTTACAATCGTCTGAAAGACTATGAACTTCTTGCTCTAGTTGGTTGGGCTAGGTCACAGAGAATGGATAAGTTATCCTGTTGATGTGTCACTGGTTTACGTTCCGTTCACCGATATCCTATAGTGTCTTAATCTAGCGCAAAGTAAAACTGACTGAAAATAAACATCTAAATTATGGGACTTTTCATACATGTTTTATCAGTGATAAATTTGAGTAGAAAACAAGAAAAATTAAGGTAGCAGACAGAATAACATAATTAACTTATGATTTCAAAAACAAACAACAATCTCTATAACCCTATCATGAAAAATCGTATAATCTGCTTATTGGTGACTAACTTCGTGAGGAAATACTTCGAGTTCTAGTTAGAAGATATGAACAATAGAGCTCAACCCTGTCAGGTGTAGGCAGTAACTACCGGAGACACTGGGTGAGGCTGTGCGAAAATCCTTAGATTGATCAGAGATAAACATTAAAACCGTTGTATGCGCACTCAGTAGTCCAGAGGTTAAGCGTTCGTGCGCAAGACCGAAGGTCCTGGGTTGGATTCTTGGGAGTGGTGGGAGTTGTGGATCCGCACTGCTGGTCAATCCCAGTCCAGAAGGAAACGGCCGTCTAGTGCTACCAGATTTTTAATGGTGGTCTAACAATGATAGATTTATTATTCCAATAATATAGAATAACATGAATTCATTTTATTCCATAGTTTCTCGTCAGCTGTATACAACTTAAGCATGATAGCACTAATCATTAATGTACATATTTGATATCATAGTATTAGAAAAGTTCTCATCAGTGAAGATGAGTGAAAAGAGTAATAAGGATTATATGAGAGTTTTTATTTATATGCTAAATAATAGAAATATTTATGGGTCGAATATAAGAATGTATGGGAATAAAAAGTAGGATTAGAATTTTTTAGAAGTAAGATTTTAATGGTATAGTTATACTATTGTTAAAACCAAACTGACTAACTGAATACAGATCAAGTGTCAATTGAGAACTCATATTTAAAGTCCTAGAATGAAATAATTACATAACAATCCCTTGTGAATGAGGTCACCAAGGCAGAGCAAGATTGATAACGGATTCTTTTTGAATGCAAATATTCTACTTCCTCTTGTAGCAATCACTTCAGTCAAACATAGTATATTTGACGTTTTTTGCTCATTGATTATCGACGTCGTCAGCAGTGTATATCTACAACCCTTTAAGCAAGAAGCAAACCTAGGACCTTTGACCTCCTTCATGAACACTTAATCTCTTGACCACTAAGCCTGCATCCAATTGTAATAATGTCTGACTTCACTCAATCCACGATATTGCGCGACCTCATCGATTGTGTTCGATGAGTAACTGTCTCGCACCTGACAGTATTGAACTCAACTGGTCACAGAATCTTACTAGAACTTCGAGAATCCCCTCGCAATACTAGTCAGTAGAAGCACTTACTCAGCAAAGACAATAAATGAGATCGCGCAATATCCATGAATTTATTCTATTTAGACAACAACATCGTCTGATAATGGCTCATCATTCAAGAGTTTAAGTATTCATGAGCAGCACCGAAGGTCCTGTGTTCGATTCTCACTTGCGGAGTTCTGTATGTGCACTGTTGACTAGTCGTGTACTAGGATGAAACGGTTGTTCAGTGCTCCAAAATTTCCAGCAGCGGTGTAACGTTTATCGATTCATGACTTCAATGTGATTCTACATAATTTTATTTGCTCATTTCTTATATACACATGTACGTTTATATACATATTTTTATTAAATGAAGAAGAATGTGTTGAATTATTGTATTCTTAGAGTCCCATAGTGTACTAAATATATAATTTTTAAATCTTAACATCACCATTATCAATAATACCAATGATAACAATAAAAAATTATAAATGATACTTTTAAAACAATTGATTTCTCTTTACAGTTTAGCAAATATTTTATTCCTTTGACCATTCGTTCAATGTAGTTTCCTTCCTTACCCTACGTTTGCGAGCATGGGCTGATCGGTTGACCTTGAGATTTCATTTCCCACCAGGAAAATCCATGGTTGTGATTGGCTGCTGTGTATTTTAGTGTGCTATTTTTGTGACTGTCCCAAGGACGTTTCTATGATGTACAAATAAACGAGATTTGTGTGCTTGATTGCATTGTGCTTGTTGGGTGTTTGTAGAATATACTTTCTACGCTTACCAAGACTTCTGTTTTGCAGTTTTGGGATTCAAGATAGCCTATCTGGACGCTGGTTCATTGTCTCGTTCGCGTTTATCGACTAAGGTGAACTCGTAATAGCTTCAAGCGTACCTGGTGACGAACATAACAAAAGGTTTAAAAAATGTTATGGGTATTTTTGTTCTTTTTTCTTTTTAGGAAATTGCTAAAATGAGAGCAGCACGTCGAGTTTGGGCAAAATTAATTAAAGAGAAATTTCAAGCGAAATCACCGAAATCTTTATTACTTCGTGCTCATTGTCAAACATCTGGATGGTCATTAACTGAACAGGTTAGCTGGTAGTTTTTAGTTGTTGTTGTTTTCATTTCGAGATGAAAGTACAAATTATGGTTTGTGAACTAAGTTACTTTGAACGATTCTATATTACTGTGAATAATGAAGCGAGCCTAAATTCAAGTAGAATGTACGCGCTTAATTGATAAATCTATTCAAAATGATTCTTGATAATAATAAACAACCGTTGAAACTAGACTTGGTCACTGTTTTAATGTATATAATTTGAAAGATATATATTTTACATTAAGTCTTCAATCTAATTATTATAGCTTGAAAACTTTATCCTCAATATTTCAAACCATAAATACAGAGATGCCTGAACCAAGACAAGCCTTTGTTTCATACAGAAACTGAATGTTAGATTGAGCTATATGTTAGTAAATGTAGACCATCTGATTGTGATCCACACAATAAAATATTTCGATCTTTAGGATACTTTAAGTGCAGTAAATTTAGAATTATTCCAAATCAGGACAGATACATTCATTTTTCATACGCACCTTTTTATTTCGACTTCCTTGAAACCATATTCTCAACAATATGCCCACTTCTATGATATTCAATCTGATTAATTCCATTATGTCATCTGAATATGATATCAGGATCTAAGGACAAACCATACATGGATTATGACTATCAAAGTGACTGTAGTGTTTTTTCTTAATGAACCTTTTTTTCTTCCTGCAACATTCATGACTGAGAAGCTTTGGAGGATGTGGAGACCTTTACATAACTAGGCAGCATAATTGATGTGAAGAAACGGAATGGAAAAGCAAGGGCAGCATTTCTACAGTTGAAGAACATCTGGTACTCAAAACAGCTGCTAACCAACACCAAAGTCATAGTTTTTAATAAAAATATCAAGACAGTTCTACTTTATGGAGAGGGAACTTGAAGAATCATGAAAGCCATCATCCGGAAGATGCAAGTATTTATTAACAGTTTTATGTGCAAGAACCCGTTGTCCAGTCACTATCAGCAACAAACTATTATGGGAAAGAATAAACCAGATTACAGATGAGAAAGAACTGATGAAAAAGAGTTTTAGGTGGACAAGACACAGATTGGTGAAATCACCCAAGTGCATCACGAGAGAAGCCCTAACTTGGAACCCTCAAGGCCAAATGGAAAGGAGAAAGACCAAAGAACACATTACACCGAGAAACGACAACAGACATGAGAAAAATGAACAGCATTTGGGTAGAACTAGCGAGTACGTCCGAAGACAGAGTAGGCTGGAATATGTTGGTCTGTGGCTTATGCTCCACAATTAAAGGGGACCACCGAAGAGATCTTAGAGAGGTTTCTGCTTATTTATCGCTCTACGCCGAACCCTCAGACAATTAACAGAATCTCCGCTGCAAAAGCTCTACTTGGCAGAACACATTTTGATGTCATCCGTCCTACACCAGCTCTTCAGCCTCAACAAAACCTATCGATGGAGAAGCAGTCCAAACGACACCATGGGGCACAAAGACGATCATTCACGGTGAGTCAAAAAGTACTTGATATGGACTATCGTGGGAAACATCCTGCATGGACAACTGGTCGGATCTTGAAAAAGAAAGGGAGTGGGATTTATGAGGTGTCAGTTGGCTCAGAAGTTTGGGCACGTCATGCTAACCAACTGAAAGCAACTTCGATAGCCAGCAACGGGACTCAGTATGGAATACCCCTTGACGTTCTGCTGCACACCTTCGAAATCAAAACGCCTGGAAAAGACAAGTCAGTTTCTGTGCAAGCAAAGAGTGACAAAAATTTCCTTATTGCTGAGAAGATGGACTAATCGAAAGCACAAGCCAGTCACACGATGGCAGTTGGACCCTAGCACCAGATCCTACGAATCTGCTCAAAGGGGAGGTGTTAGTGGGACATAGATGAAATAAAGCATCACTGAGTTAGCTGCACTCTGATCGGCTAAAGCTAATCCAGTCAATGCTAGCCAATCACGTGGATTACATTCCAGAACCTTCTCGTGTCAAAACTATAAAGATACTAATGTTGTTTCGCTTTCGCCTTCGGCCTCTAACTTCCATTTAACCTTGCTATTTGGAATATAATCTTTTCCTGCTCCACAGTGTTCTGATTTTGGGATTTGTCGAGTGGATTGTTGTCAGAGAATACTAAGCAATAGGAATTAGCTGGGATTTATTAAGAGAGAGTTACAACACAGTCATAAGTAAATAAGTTTTTTTCTTCCTCATTACCCTTGTGTTTTTTTATAGGATCCATACAATAATATTATTCGTACTACGATTGAAGCAATGGCTGCTGTATTCGGTGGATGTCAATCATTGCATACAAATTCATTTGATGAAGCACTTGGTTTACCAACAAAATTCTCTGCTCATATTGCTCGGAATACACAAATTATAATTCAAGAAGAAACAATGATTACAAAAGTTATTGATCCATGGGCTGGTCCATTTATGATGGAAAAATTAACCAGTGAATTAGAATTAGCTGCTTTAAAAGAAATTGAAGAAGTGATTATTTTCATTTTAACTATTTTTACATTATAAATTGACTTTAAATAGACATCTAACAGAAACAAAACTAGGAAATAATAAGCCGTTATTTAGTTCTAGTGTGGGTCTTCTCCAGTAGCGAACATTCTTTATCCAATTAGTGATTGAAAATAAAAGCTTAATATTTAGCTATGAGTGTGTAACGACTCGCATACAATGGACTTTGTTTACGTTTAATTTGATTAAGCCCTTTGATTAACTTATTTAACTTGAAGCGTCATTAAAACAGTAACAACTTATCTGTACCATTGCACTTTTAGTATTGTCACACTTGTATGAGCGTGTATGCTTGAGCATTGGTTACGGATAAGGCACATATTCCTTATTGCTAGTTTTAATGTCACTCGCTTAAATAATTCAGTGACTCATTCATTTTTCCTATAAATGTGTGCATTTTAATCTTATTCAAACAGTTCTCGTCAATCGCATGTTATTTCGTTTTCGCTTCGTATGCCTATGGATTTGTAGTCGGTGTGTGGTAGGATAATAAACTGAAAACACCACTGTGCGTTGTTTAGTAACGAACAGTATACGAAGTTTAGAAGAGTTATATTGAACACCCACCGCCACAAGTGCTTCACCTTCTGATCAATAAGTCGACATCCAGTGTTTCACATTTTGAACTGTGATCGATTCATGATATTTCGTTACCATCTTCGAATTTCATTGGCGAATAAGTGTTTTACGTTTGACATAGTTGAACCCCATTGGTCATAATGTGTCGATCTCAACTGACAAAAGTGGATCGACCAATAAAATTTGAGTTAAACACCCACCATTTATAACTTAATTGTCTATTGCTCTGACTATTTTTTATTTAATTATGAACAATAAAATTGCACAACTTTTAAATAAACATGGCTGACTCTTTTCTATTGATTCATTTTTTGTGTCCCTGCTACTGATCTCCAAGTGTATACTGTTCTTCTTGTAATCGACTGCACTATTTTTCGGGTTCGCATTGATTGTAATAATTTATATTTTACAAGACGAACCAAAATTATGGTGGAGTTCCGTTCTTCAAGCTTGATATTTTGGTTATCGAGCTTTCCTCATTCTTCTGAACAACATCATCAGCATAAACTTCAAGTAGAAGTGAAGTATTCGAATTTCTCTACATATGTGAAATGTCCGATGCGCAAAACAGTGGGTTCGCTCTTCAGCTTTCCCTGCGTGATCACCAACTGGTTGTCAAACGCCGTGACATTTCTTCCCACATGCCGACGATTGTGGATATATATTCAATCTAAAAAATTAGTTGAAATGCTGGATAGAGAATTGTTAAAGGCTTGGCACTCAGGTCAGTTGGCAATCAACAAACACATCAAAATTGATCCATTTTACTAACCAATTAGAAAAATCGTAGACAAACTCAGGATCACGAAATGCAATGAAAATGTACATGCAAACAACGACAGGTTAAAGGTTGACAACAACCATTCAACACGGCAAGCTACGAGTAATACGTTGAGAAATTTGAATACCCTTCACTTTTATCTGGAGTTTGTGTTGAGGATATCGTTCAGAAGAACAATAAAAGCTCCAATTCAGTAAACGCTACTCTACTATAATCATCTACCTGAGCTACAAATTATCTTCATTATCTCATAGATTATAAATGTTGACTACATACATAGTTAACCTGTGTGCGATAGTATAGGGGATTACTAAGAAAATTTATCTGTGAGCAAAATAAATTCATGTATCATCATCACTATCGCTTACAACGAAGTATTCTTGAAAATTGTTAGATTCTATCGTATACATTATGGTTTCATTGTAGTCAGACAGTGACATGTTCATAATAACAATGACCATGTTATACTTGTCTCTATGTATGCATAAAGCTATTACGGGTTCACCTTAGTCGAATAACGAGAACGAAACAATGGACCGGCGTCCAGGTAGGCTAATGCGATCAGATTGTCCCAATTTTACCAGCAAGAAGTCTTGATATAGTGTAGGAAGTGTATTCTACAAATACCCAGCAAGCACACAATGAATCCAAGCACTCAAATTACGTTTATTTATACTCTATAGAGACGTCATTTGGACAGTCAAAAACAGAACACTAAAATGACACAGTAATCAAACACAGCCAAAGATTTTCCTGGTGGAAAATATGATCTCAAGGTCAACTGATCGGTCCAAGAAATAAAACCAAAATAAAGATATTTATCAAGCGAATTCTGAGGATCTAACATGCCCGACACCACAGTTATTATATAAATGATAATTTGACATTTCATACTTTTTTAGATTGAAAAATTGGGTGGAATGGCTAAAGCTATTGAAACTGGTATTCCAAAATTACGTATTGAAGAGTGTGCAGCTAAACGACAAGCAGCTATTGATTCTTGTCAAGGTTATTATTTACTTCTTATTCATTTTTTGTGTGATTAATAATGTATCCTTAGCTGATCCATCTTCCGTATTAGATTGTAGTGTGCGTACTAATCTATCGAGTCCATTTGATTGGTCCTAGCTTTAGAACAAACTAATTAGCCTCTTCTTCCCGTGTCATTATTCCCTCATCCTTCAACCTTGTCAATTACTCGTTTATTAAACTTGATTGTTTTTACTTAAGTGTGTATGTGCATTGCTTACTTCGTCTGTCAACATGTCTGGCTTAATTTTGTCTGACTGTTGATAGTCATGCCTCATCACGTTTGGTTGGCCAGCTCGCCTTCTTCGCTTCCTTTTTACACTACCCATCATTATATCTGTTCGCTTACCGAAAGTATGATGTAAATTCATCGTAGTGAATCTGCATTCGGCTTCTCAGTACCACCGTTGGACAAACGGAGTTCGCCTAAGAATAATATACGGAAATTAGACGTAAGACTTATTTCCTGGCCTATTTTAATCGTTTGTCGAAATCGGAGTCAGATTCAAGGCCACTAAAATTTCAAAGGTTTGTTACGCACAAAGCAAACACGCTATAAATCAACTGGGTGATATAAAAGAGATTGAAATGTATCATTTTTCCTACTTGTATCGCTGTTGTCACCTTAAAATATTATGTAACAAACGTAATTAGGTGAAATTGTTATGTACATAGGAAAAAATAAAACACTAATTGTCATTATCAGGGCTGTGAAGATTGTTGATTTTTATTGAAATCATGGGTCAGTCAGTGTTAGATCACCATTAGAAACTTAGAAGCACTGAATGTTCGTATCGTCCTAGTATGGGACTAATCAGCAGTGTGTAATTATGACCCATAAAACTTTCGGAACCGGGACTCTGGATTTGACATTGAGTATCCAACCTCTAGTCGATAAGCCAATATGAACTGTGTTAATTTATGACTTCACGATATTGCGCGACCTCTTCCATTGCCTTCCGTTAATAACTACTTCATATCCGACAAGGTTAAACTCCATCGGTCATGGCTTCTTACTACCGCTCCGAGAAAACTTTCACGAAGTTATTCACTACTGAGCACATGATAGCTGTCATTTTAGGGTTGTGCATTGACAAACATTAGATATTATCACCACTGAAAGCTAACTCATTGGTCTAGAGGTTAAGTACTCAACGTGAGACTGAAGATCCCAGGTTCACTCCTCGGTTGGGTTGATATTGCACACTCCTGTGCAGTCCCATACTTAAATGAAACAACTTTCCATTATTTAACTGGTTATTTGCCGATTTCTAATATCACTAACCTTCCGTATTCTTCATTAACCTCTTTACTGATAATATTGATTGGTGTGATTATCCCTTCACTTTGTTATTTGCTCAAGTTTTCATATTATCTCATATTTTCCCATAATTGTATTTAGTAGATTTTTGATTTTTCTTTCAATCACAGAGATTATTGTTGGTGTAAATAAATATCGTTTAGAAAGAGAAGAAGAACGTGTTGATGTACTTGTAGTAGACAATACTAAAGTGCGTGAATCCCAAATTGCAAAACTTAAAAAAGTTCGTGCTGAACGTGACCAATCGAAAGTAAGTTAAACAGTAGTTTCTGATTTCAGATCTTTTCTCTAATAATCTTCATTAACTATATCTAACTTCAACTCCTATTAAAGGCATGTGGATAGTTTCCAGTTCTTTACTGTCCACGCTGTGGAAAGATACTTCATCTTGATGTATTTGAAAACAAATTTGGGTTACGAAACGTCTTAACGACCTAGGAGAAGCATATTTGAGTTTGATACCAGTCACACGTGAGAGCTGTGAGTGAGTAGCTGTAGATATACTAGCTACGTACTTGTCAGACCTCACAACTGGTGATAGAAATCGGTGACGTCAAGATGAAGTGTTGTATTTTTAGGCTTCGTTTTTCTTAACCCTCTCTCTCTTTAGGAAAAGTTGTAACGCTGTAGATGCTAGTTTTCCGAAGTGACAACTGAGTAAGCAATGCTGTCTAACTTCGATCGATCCACGTTCTTGCGCAAACTCATCAACTTTGTTAGAAACCAGCTCAGTACTCCAGAGGTTAGGCGTTCTCACGCAAGACCGTAGGTCCCGGGTTCGAATCCTGTGAGTAGCGGGAGTCGTGGATGCGCACTATTGAAGAGTCCGATACCAGGACGAAACGGTCGTCCAATACTACCAGGTTTCTAATGGTTGTCTAACATTTATCGATTCATGAGTTCATAGTTACTCAACAACCTCCACAACCTTGTAATGCATACAGAATAATGACTAATCAGGTTTTCTTTTAAAATTACTTATTTTGAATCAGACACAAAAGAAAAACATGATTCAAAGCCGATTGTAGGGATACCATATACCTTATTATAATTCTTTTGTCTTATCATTTATGCACACAACTGTTCCATAAATTTTTTTCCATTTATTTACTAATCATTTATTCATAGAAATTTATTTTACTTCTCAGGTAAGTTTAATTTGTTGATTGGTTTTTTCTTCTTTTTCTACATACTTTATTCTTGAATATTCTTTCTTTGTGTTACTTTTTAAAAAATTTTTAAACTTGCTTTATTATTGTTCATGAATGAAGGAGATTTGTGGAGATTGAACTATTTTCACAGTTTTAATCACAAATTGATCTTACCTAGATCACTATTAGAAACCTGGACGACTGTTTGGTTCGTAAATGTGTACTGTTTATGAGTTCCATATGAAGATGAAACGGCCATCCAGTCTTTCCAGGTTTATAATGGCACTCTACCTTATGACAGTTCGTGATTTAAATTTTTCTTTGAAATATGTTTTGTTCCGTGAAATAAATCTAACCGATTATATATTACTATTGGTAAGGTTGTAGGATAATTACAAACCTAATCGTGTAAAACGCAATAATGATGATAACCAGGTTCTAAGTCCCATCTACTTTTTTTAATAAAATCCAAAATAGAGTGATCTTATCCAACTGAGTAAACTGTAGTAGTCGGAACTGGTTCAAATGTATCATCGTTTATTGTTGTTCATTAGAACTTGTGGTGGCCAATGTATTACTTGTTTCCATGACGGTTGGTACCTAACGTGTTCTTAAGCTTCGTAATTCGCTCGTCTAGGCAATCGTCGCCAAATAGCGTCTGACGGTTACAAATCAGAAGGAAAACATGAGAGCTTGAATAAGTTTATTTTCGCACACCACAATTAGAACAGCAGACCACAGACATGCGAGTGCCGGAAGGCAAGCAGGCAAGTGAAGTAGCGAATCGGCGAATAAAGTGAAGTGGAGTTGGCTCTCTAGCCTAGCGCTCTCTAACGCTGCTTGGTGACGATTGCCGAGACGAGCGAGTTACGAAGCTTAAGAACACATTAGGCACCAAAAGCCACGGAAACAAGTTATACATTGGCCACCACATAAATTGTGAGCCCGCCGTCGAATCCTACGCACCCGACATTAAGTTGGTGATACCGACGGCAAATCGAACACGACCACATAATTGGTAATCGCGACGCCATACATCGAAAAAGTAGCTTTGGGACTAAATACATTCGCTGAACGAATCAACGAACCAGACTTGATGAAAAACGCAAAAAAACACACTCTCTTATCTGACGAAAGCAGCAAAGCCACTTAAGCGGTTATATGCACACCACAAACTCAGTGGTTGAATTATTCGACTATGTTTCATGTTCGAACTCCGTTAAACCAACATGTAGTATTTTTCTACTAGCCCTCGCATTTGCAATGTAGCTCATAGATAACTACATAAATAAATACCAGATAAATTAAATATTATGTTAAATGCTCTTTCTCCCTTTCACACACGTACACATCCACACACACATACACACACTGATGCTTACTACATAAGGTTGATCTATGCTTACAATCAATAACTGATGCTTGTTCATCAAATGATAATCAAAGTCAAAATCTTTTGGCATTATGTATTGAAGCAGCTCGAGTACGTTGTACCATTGGTGAGATAACTGAAGCAATGGTTAAAGTATTTGGTCGTCATCGAGCTATTAATCATCTTGTTTCAGGTGCATATCAAAGTCAATTCAGTGCAGATGAAGAATGGAACCAAGTTATCAATGCTGTTAATGTAAGAAAAAATGAGAGAGAATTATATTTTTGCTCTGTTTTTTCTATATTACTTTTTTATGTTACGTAAGACTATATTTTATTTCATTTTTTCACTTTGAGTTGTTAATTATTGGTAAAGTTGTTCTTTGTACTAATAAAAATACCTTTTTCTCACTTGGTATACACACTTTAGTGTATTATTGAGTAGTAACACAGTTTGTAGGTCCAAGCAACCAGTGTCCTTACATTTCTAATCTTACTTTAGTTAGTAACAGACTGTTGTTTCTACGTCTTATAGTTCACGAAGCCATGAAAAACCGTTTCATCCTAGTACAACACTCATCAGCAGTTTGTATCCATTAGACCGCCGGAAATAGAACTTAAGATGTTACGTCCTTGATCTGTCTACCCATTAATTAATATAGAGGAGAGAACTTTTCTCGATTTAGGTTTAAGCCTTGATGCGATAAGCTATCTAATTCAACTTTGAGGCTAGCAATACGTGAGTTCTATTGTGACTAACGACCTTATGGGCAAAGGGAAGAAAACGTTTTTACTACCTAGCATAGGTTAACAAGCGAGATAGATGACAAATTGGTTGGAACACTGTTCGATATATTCCTGACTCAAATTAATGTAAAATAACACTAATAAATAGATAACGACCACGAACACAACGCACAAAGAAGTAGAGAAATACAATTATGTCTAAACTAAGCATTAGTGTATAAAAATGGAGCACGAAAAAGTTACATTTAAACTGCACTAATAGTATATCAGTGAATCATATATCAAATGAAAGCTAATGATTTGGAGAATGATCCAGGAACCAACCTAAATGTCAGTATTCACAGACTTTAAATTAAGTGAAACAATGTTCCTCTAAATAGTTTCTGTTGTTCGTCACTGTCTATCTCTTTCTTCATGTCACAAAACTGTCATCTCTCATAGTCAGTGCTTAACATTCAGTCTTTTTAGTTGGCATATGAAGGTCAGGACGAGAAATTAACTCTAAGAGAAATAGTTTAGCAGGACCGTTGTTCTAGTTTCATTGTTACTCAGTTGATTAATTTCAATGTCTTGAGTTTAGATTTGACGAAAATTGACTTTTCAGTATTTTAGAAGTTAAATCATCCAGTGAAATGATCTATCTAAAGTCTCATTAGTATAATACGTTAGCGGTTGTTGCCTATTTCTGACAAATATAAACACTACAAGGTTGATAAGATGTAATTCTGATCTATTTAGGCGATTCAAAGTGGAGGGATGACTCGTAGGGTGTGGATAAGTGATGGCAAAAATTAATTTTAATCAACTATGAACTGATTGACAATTTTTTAATAATTATCGAGGTCGGTTGGAAGATGTATTATGTATATCGACTTGCAATATTTTCTGGTGTAAAAATGAATCAAAAGAATACTGTCGTTAACCTAACCAAAACTTGCCATCAGTTTATGAAGTAATTTATTGTTAAACCGAGACATGTTCGTAAGTTTAGACTACTTAGTTGAGATGTTCAACAGTTATGGTAATATTTGTAGACATTAAGGTGATGTTGACTGACGGTTCTGAGTCACAATATTCCTACTGATGTAACTTTCCATTACATTTTGTTGAATTCTATCCTCAACATTTAATTTTTTTATTATAGAGTTATGGAGATTGTTGTGTATCGTTGAAATCATGAATTATTCATTGTTGGACTACCGTTAGAAACTTGTTAGCTCAAAACGTTAGATTGATCAAACTTAAACATTAACACCATTGGATGTAGCCTTAGTGGATCAGGGGTTTAAGAGTTTACTTAGAAGATCGAACGCCCTGAGTTCGAATTACACGAGTAGTCGGAGTCATGGATGCTCACTGCTGATAAGTCCCATACTAGGGAGGACATAATAGCCGTCTAGTGCTTCCAGGTTTTTATAAACGGTAGTCTAACAATGTGCAATTCATGATATCGATGATATTAATTTTCAAGATTCTCTAATTCTACAAGATTATTAGTAAGTTGTTTCTGTTTATAGACTAAATATTCTTTAACACATAATGAGATAATGATTAGAAACACTTTCCAATATAGAAAAGCATCACAATCAGTATGATTTAATCTAAGGAATTCCTCTTTCTCATCATTACACTTGAACTAAAGTACTGTTCATTTTATTTTTATAGAAATAATTTAAATCTATGCTGTGGTTATATTGTGTTGTACTATAGCAGTAAAGATAAAACCATGTGTTGTCAATCTAATAATATGTCGCGTAAATTGTTTTTGTGTTTTATTTCTGAAGATAGGAATTTTCTGTTTTATTATTGTTCTGATGTTAAAATTCTTTGAAAAAAAAGATTATTACTGAGCAAAATGTTTTGTATTTTTTTTTTCAAATTGTTAAATTTCTTTTCAAATTATTCCAATTCATTTTTTTTTACTGTTTTACAATCATCTAGACATTTTCACATCATGAAGGACGTCGACCACGTATACTAATCGCTAAACTTGGTCAAGATGGACATGATCGTGGTAGTAAAGTAATTGCTACTGGATTTGCTGATTTAGGCTTTGATGTTGATACTGGTTCATTATTTTCAGTAAGTAGATTTTTGTTAGCATTTAAAGTGAATTAATGTTGTCATATTAGAGGATATTTTGATGATCGAGTTCACCGTATCCACAAGTTTCTGTACGGTTTACACTTCTCGCAGATCATAAACCTCTGTTAGCAATATCTGGGTCAGAATTTGGCATTCCAGCACCATTCTGCAAATCGACTTCAGCGATGTGCCATAATACTTTTGAGGTGTAATTTCGAGATTCAATACCAACGCACTCACAAACTTGGTCAGACAAATTCATTATCACGACTCATTAATGACCAATTAGCGGCGGAGGAGAACATGGTAATCACATCTCCGTCGGCGGAAGACTAAATGGAATGTTATTTGACAACCGTAATACGGGCATTACCGGTGTCTACAACAGACAAACATACTGAGCTAGGAACTACCCCATCATCAAGATGATGAAATATGTCACCAACGGTTGGCCGTCGAAGTAGTTTGAAGGTGACATGAAGCAACTTTATCAGCGGTGGGATTCACTATGCATTGTAAACGACTGCTTCATGTTTGGAGAATGAGTGATGGTCCCAGAATCCTTTTGAGTGAAAGTGCTGAGACAGTTCCATCTTGATCATTCAGGGGTTAGACGAATGAAGTCCATAGCCAGGAGTTATGCATACTGGTTCCTAATGGATCAAATATCACTGAGTTGGTTGGAAAATACAAGCGGTGTCAGCAAGCGGCAAAGGTGAATGCCAAACTTCCGCCATTTTTTGTGGCCACAATCTGATCATCCTTGGTTTAGGATAATCGTCAACTTCGCGGGCCCGATTAATGGAATTATGCATTTAGTTGTCGTCGACGCCCTTTCAAAATGGCCAGAAAGCAGTCCTGCAATAGAAGATTGTAATGAGTTAAAAAGAATGAATTTATATTATTATCAAGGCTTTTGGAAAGATCTTGTCGTATACTTTTCTCCTTTTTTATTATTCACTGATCAATTTAATTCTCATATTCTAGACTCCATTAGAAGTAGCTCAACAAGCAATTGATGCAGATGTACATGTCATTGGTGTGAGTACATTAGCTGCTGGTCATAAAACATTAATTCCTGAATTAATTAATGAATTAAAAAAATTTGGTGGACAGTAAGTTTAGAAAAAAAGTTTGGTGTTGTATTGTCTCTTTGTAATGAGGTTGTTCGATTGATGCTTACAAATGATTGAATATGCTCTAATACGATGAGGCGGCAATAGGGACAAAGACAAATACACACACACACGCGCAGATACACACGCGTAATTCTTCATTCATAATTTTTTTATGAGGAAATTTAAAAATAAAAAGAGAAGAAACTTGATAATGAACAGAAAAAAATCAAAATTTGAAGAGGAACAACTGTATAGATTTGGTAATCGACTATGATCGTGAACTATAGAAAAACTAGTAAATTGAAAAATGACATTATGTAAAGATAGAATACCTATCAAAGCAGATAAAGTCTTGATAATCTATACAGAAAACAGAATTGAAACTTATTAATAACCTTAGTCTTCAGTCAGTCAGTCAGTCACTCAGTTACAACGTAGAAGTTGGTATGTACGAACGTCAGTTCAAGTTGCTGTACCATATTAACACATAGAGAGATGGAATTGTCATTTCAAACCAGCTTATATATATGTATATATATACTGAATTGAAAAGTGTGTAAAGTATACGGATAAGCTTAAAGCAACCAGTACCAAATCCTCGATCATGTCTTAGTTTATCAGAAAACAGAATTTGTAAATGAATAGTTTATGGTAGAGAAAACAATAAAGTAGCAAAGTGCATACAAATTTCACATAATTTTTGAATCGATATAAATTGTCTACAGGTTATTTCTATTTTTAAGACGTAAAAAGAAAAACGTAACTTCAGTTCATCCAATGTTGGGCTTGAAGTCTTGTAAAAACTTAAAACTCATTTTAAAAGTCTCCTCATATTGTTTTTAACCCGAGTTGCGTATTTAGGATTATATGGTTTAGAGTGAGGGTTACCATTACAAACTGATCATTTTTTAAATAAGAGATATTTCTTTAGTTATTTTTTCAGTTGGTTGGGTAAACAACTGAATAATGTCAGCATGCGGTAGTTACTCATAAAGTTACTCATTAAACAACATAAAACCTGACACAAATATGTAAACTGCCATGGTTTATAGTAGCTCAAAGGGAACTGACAATATATCAATCATATCACTTGAATTAAGAGCATTATTACTAGTCATGTCATAACTATCCACTAAACAGTGAATATTACTTCTATGAGCAGAGTTAAGCAGTGACTAGGAGTAGAATCCTGGGTGTACGTTAGTTGGATGTACCTCCATCTTAGTTGTGTTGATTGTCAATACACGACTATGTCCCAATATCTTTCGCTGCAAAAGTCCAAATGTGATTCACTTAACTAATGATTACAGATAGTTACCGGTTTTTTAAACGACGAAAAACTATAATTTGCATCAGAGTATTACGGTGATCGTCGATCTGCAATGAAATCATGAATGGATGGTTGCTAGACCACCGTTAGAAGTATGGAAGCACTAGATGGCTGTTTCAGCCTGGTATGAGACTCATCGACAGTGCGCATCCACGATTCCTGATACTCGCAGGATTGATCAGAGTTGAACATTAACACTGTTGGGTGTCGTCCCAGTGGTCTAGAGGTTAGGCGTTTGCTCACAAGACCGAAGGTCCTGGGTTCGAATTCTACAAGTAGCCCGAGTTGTGGATGTGCAACGCTGATGAGTCCCACACCAGGACGAAACTGTTATGTAGTGCTTCCAGGTTTCTAATGGTGGTCTAACAATGATCCATTCATGATTTCAATATAATTCATTTGTAATGGTTTACATATCACCATTGTTAATGATGAGGACTGTAATTTTTATCCTCTATATTGGTAACGGCATGGAACTGCACAATCATAAATAGATAGTAATCTTTCTATGTGATTAAAAAAAGTCTTATTGTAACATTGTTTTCTTTTTCTGTCTATTTATTTACTTACTTATTTATTTATTCGGATAAATAAGAAATGTTGTAGTTGTTGTTGGTGGAGTGATTCCCCCGCAAGATTATAATTTCCTACATGAAAATGGTGTTTCTTGTATATTTGGTCCTGGGACCCGTATCACTGATGCTGCTATGAAAGTATTGAATGCAATCAACACAAAATGCCATAATAATAATAATAATACAGAACAGAAAAAGTCATTGTACCAATGATCCATTCCATTGTATAAACATGCACAACATAGTCATTCAGTTGATTAGTTTTCTACAGTTTTTTTTCTACATATATCAACAAACTACTTATGACCAGTTTTAATACACTACTTATACACAGATCGTAATGATTAGTAATATTTCTGTTATTATTTAATCTTCTCTGCAGAACATTTTATATTCTTCATTGTTTAGTGAGAAACTGTTTTTTTTAAAAAATGATCAGTTAGTATTTTCGTTGTTAACACCTCTGACTGATCATTGGAAACCTGTGGGTAATAGAAAGGGGTTTCGTTCTATCATGGGACTCCTTGGAAGAGTGCATCTACCACACTGCTGTAAAAGATTTCGTTCAGAAATTTCAGTCTCACATGTGAACACTTATGCACTAAATCATGAAAACGTAATCCAATAATGCATATATATCTAATTTCAATCAATTCGTAATATCGCACAACTCTTTTTTCAGTGTATTCAAACTCAAACCTGTTGAACTTCACTGTCCATAGCTTCATACAAGAACTCCAAAACTACCTCTCGAAGTTAGTCACTAGTGACTGTATGCAGTTATTTTCCTAACGGATCCATATTAAACTTAGCAGACATTGGTTAACTGAGTCACGGAATAAGATTGAGAAGTAACTCAGCTTAAACATATGACTCATCGGATAATAGGCTCAGTAGTTTGTAGGTTAAGGGCTCATCCACGAGAATGAGAGTCTTGGATTCGATTCTCTTTGGTTAGGGTGATGGATGCATACTACCGACGAGTTTCGTACCTGTATGTATCCAGTGTGTCTTGGTTTTTTATAATCAACTGGAGATGTCAAGTTGAGGAATTCAAAAATCATCATAATCCTTTCATGATCATCCAATCAATTAGAAGTTACAAGTAATCATTCAGTCATGCATACTTAAATATAGTCTAGCATTGAAAAGGTACAATATACTATGAATTAGTTCAATATATATATGCAAGCACTTACGAACATAAATAGGATTGAGAAAATTTCAAAATAAGAAAATGCTGCGTATTTCAGAATGTTTCTAAAAGAAAAAAAAACATCACATTCGTATTTGGTGATCAATCAATCATTAGATTGACATACATCGAATTCATCAATTCATTTAGTGAAAAGTAAGATGTTCAATGAACAAAATACCCAACAGGATCACAAGGATATGTGAAGAAAATAAAACTGGTGAAAATAAGTTTACTTTATATTTAAGTGAAATAATTAAAATGTTTACTTTCAGTTGAAGTAAATGCTGTTTTTTTTTTATAATCTTTAATGATTAACGGATCAAACCATCTAACTCAGAAAATGTATAACACTACTAAAATTATTAGTGTATTTTGTGTATATTGAGAATTAAGAGAAGTAGATGCGCACAAATAATGAAATCAAGAGAAAGGTAATTTTTTCCCAGTCAACACAACACTTAAATGTATACAAAGAGTATGGGTATAAGGGTATAACAAATCTTATCATGTAAAACTGATACGTCTTAATGATTAAACAATATATTCTAAAGAATTTTTTTGTGATCTGGAATCTGACTCCGATTTCGACAAACGATTAAAATAGGCCAGGGAATAAGTTTTTAATCTAATTTCCACATATAATATTCTCGAGCGATCTCTGTTTGTGCAACGTTGGTGATAAGAAGTCAAAAAGACATTTATTTCATACATTCAGCAAGCAAACAGACATAAGAATGAATAGAATAAAAAGGAAGCGAAGCAAAGTGAAGCCGAGAAGGAAAGCGGGCCAACCAAATTTGGTGAGGCACGACTAATTCTTTATAGTCAGACAAAAATATACGCTAGACATGCGATCAGCAATGCAAACAATGGACACATACGCATTCGAGTAAACACAACCATGGTTATAAGCGAATAATGGACAAGGTCAAAAGACATACCAATAGTAATCCGAGCAAAAAAAGTTAATGTGTTTGCCCAAAAGCTAGTACAGATCATGTAGGTTTAACATATTAGTACACATACTAGAAATTATTTTCCGATTTCATAAAATTTCATTATTTATAATCCCATCCTACAGCAGCTCAGTTTACTGATGAAATTAGCAATAATCACAATGATGTGACAACTCATTTTCAAAACAATGAATTTACTATTCGACTTTCAGAATACAAAAAATCTGCAGCATTATCAACTCACCACATTTTTTCCATGTCTCAAAACCATGATAAAATTAATGTGACTCAGATTAATGAACATAAACTGTACAAATATGGTGGAAACAAACAATTTTAGGTAATTTCTAGAAACAACACAATGTTGGGGATGTTCAATCCCCACAACTCGCTTGATAAATATCTTTATTTTGGATTTATTTCATGGACCGATCAGTTGACCTTGAGATCACATTTCCCACCAGGAAAATATTTGGCTGTGATTGGTTACTGTGTCATTTTAGTGTGCTATTTTTGTGACTGTCCGAAAGATGTCTCTATGGAGTATAAATAAACGCGATTTGTGTACTGGCTGGGTTGTGTATGTAGAATACACTTTCTACACTATATCAAGACTTCTTGCTGGTAAAATTGGGACAATCTGATCACAGTAGCCTACCTGGACACTGATTCATTATTTTTTTCTTGTTATTCGACTAAGGTGAATCCATGATAGTTTAAGCATAGCTAGAGACGAGTATAAAAAACAGAAGCAACAATTCCAATGAAAGTGGAAACCAAAAGAAACATGAAATACATCTCAGCTTGTAATGATGCGGTAAATAATGCAAATCTCGCCATTAGCGCACGGACCTACTTGGATTCGAAGACGAAAGGCAGGAACGTACAATATCCTTTCCCCCGTACACAGATTCAACATCTTACAAAGTATCATCTCGGCAACATAACATTATCAAAATAAATTCCACTGTGGTGGAAATAATAGAAATCTCAGGATCAGTATGGTAAACACATGGTATAAGGAGTATGACTGATTATGAAAGAATTATCTCTCGTAATAAAATAAATAAAATAAGATTGAAACGAAGGATCTAAGGAGATGACAAGGAATGATTGAATCTAAACTATCGGAATTGATTCTGTGCCAATATGTACATCGACCAGCCACAACAATCAAATAGATCCTAACTGAGTAATCTGCACCGAATAATATTGTCTTAGAACAATAGTGAATGCGTGTCATCGGATACACGGCGATCTGAACATAAATCAACAGATATATAGATAACACATACTCGCTGAAATTTCAGTGATTGGTAGCACCGTATCTGACAAAATTTAGGTACTATACAGAAGGCTTGAGTGGCTCTTGAAAACTTGCGTCATTTACAGCGTAGGTGACATATCCATCTAATAACTAAAGAACGGGTTTACTGCGCAGCAGTTCTCTCCGTTCTACTATACGAGCGTGAAACGGCCACTAAAAAGCGAGGATAGTCGTAGGGTATCTGTGTCTTCGAAGCATTGCTCGGATATGCTGAGACTATTGACTAAACAATGCTTTTGCTAGGAAAACAGTACTAAGTGAGTATTAAAAACAAAGTGATGAAGTAGTAAATCTTGATCAATTCAGGTGGTTTAGATGTGAGTTAAGCATGCCCAATCACTGACTACTTCGAAGAGCAATTTTGTTTGATATAAAGGTAGGCTGGAAGACAGCTAGTGGCAACCAAACTAAAACCATAAATCAATGAAGTAATTGAGAACTGGACTGAACCATGTTAGTAGATGTAGACTAAATGGCTGGAGACATTGAATTACATGGCTCAAAATCGTTTGAAATGGCTTTTCTTTGCTTTCTCATTTTAAATTTTATGTACTTGTTTTATACTTCTCGAGTCTTATCTTCGATCCCTAATCTTTTTCCATTACCGTCAATACTGCTAAACCTCTACAACTGTTTGATTTGGACTGTCAATTCCACATTTCTATGCTAATGAGGTATGGCAACTTGAAATGATGTACGTACGTACCACGCTCTGCGTTACAGCTGACTGAATAATATTTCTTAATTTTAAAATACTTTTTATCATTCTGAATAAGTTTCTCTTCGTCAAATCTGGTGCTAAGGCTAAACTGATTTCTCGTTGGACAGGTTTGTCAAATTTCTTAATAAATTACTCTTTTGAAACGAACTTTAGACAACTAATTAGTTTTAATATAACAATGCTTAAGCAATCAGCACTCTTTCGATAATTCCGCTTTATGTTTTTGCCTACTAACAATGAATTAAGTAGTAAGTATAAAACAATTAAAAGTGGCTCAGTCGTTGCACGAATCTGTGATGTTTTTGATACTGATAACTAAAATTATTAGTCTACGTTGACATGTATACTTTCTAAATAGGTGCCTTATGATCATATTAATTAAATTCAGGTTCCCTGACAGATACATTCTTGATGAAGTGAATCAAGTGTATAAATTAAAATAGAGGAAGATAATCGTTAACCTAGATTATAATATTCCATTTGTCAATGCCTTAGAAAGAAAGCTGGATCAACGGAGATATCACCACAGCTGGGACAGACATAAGCCATCCAGCCTACTATACTTTTTAAATTGAAATATAATTCTCGACAAGGTTGAGAATCTGGGAGGTATCAATTTAAAATAGTCAGAATTTTCTCAGATTTCCATTTATAAGTCTTCAAACTGAACAGTATTTTAATTCAATTACTGCATGGATAGGATCTAGAATGTTTGAAATCCTACACTAACATCAATATCCGAACTTATCGAGCTGACAAATCCAAACTGGGACAAAATGCATGGTGTTTATTTTATAACTAACCTCTGACAGTGTTGAAAGGATTTATAAATTCATATTCTCATTGACCATCACATGTCAATCTCTCACTTCAATTGTATGGATTGTTGAATTTTAAAGTTTTCGATTACGACTGACCAATTAAAGATCAACAAACAGTGAACAAATGTTTTGACTTAATATTACACCCTCTAGTCTAATAAATCGACTATCATACTGAAAGTTAAATCCAAAACTTTTAGGTTTTTACAAGCTAGTGGTCTAAATGTCCAGTCGTTACCACGATATACTTTATTATATGTTTAATGACATACAAGGACGAAACCGTTGCCCAGTTCTTAGGCGTTTTTAATAGTAGTCTAATAATGATCGATTGATTATTTCAATGATTTAATTTGGTCACATTAAACAAGTTCTTTGGAATTCATTGTTTTACAACAGATTAAAGTTGTTCATAACGGTTTTAAATGCTGAAGGAATTTGTTTGAAAAAGTTCTTTTAACTGAATCGGCAGTCTTATTTCTTCATACTGATAAGTTTTTTGATTGAAAGATTAAACGTTGAATTCCTAACAGCTTCTTAATTCCCTACTCTCTCGGCATATTAGATTTGAATCCTGAACAATAAAAACCAAACGAAAAGTTTAGTAAACATTTTTAATTACAAAGGTTAGAATGTGTATATAATACGTAGGTATTCACAGGCTTTTATGTAACTCCTTAAACTTTAGCATTTAATGGAAAATATATTGGAATCTTTAAAGAATTCGACAATTATTCTCTAATCAAGATGAAGAGAATATTAAATCAGTCATTTTCCTAGATTTCCCTTAGACATTTCCAGAATTTATCAATCAATTGAAATATTTACAGCATTACTCATGGCTTCTGTAGACATTTTTGAAAAATCCTAATGAGCTCATAATATACTTACAAAGTCTTTCATTCTTTATGTATTAGGTCATGAGTCTGGTAAACGAAAGGCTAGATCTGATTGTTATGCTCGTCACTTGATATGCTTTAAACTGTTACGGGTTCACCTTAGTCGATAAACGAGAACGAGACGATGAACCAGTGACACGATAGGCTATTCTGATCCATTGACCCAACTAACTGAAGAGAAAAGTCTTGATATGGCGTAGAAAGTGTATTCTACAAACACCCAAGGAAGCACAATACAATCAAGCACACAAATCTCGTTTATTTATACATCATAGAAACGTCCTTGGGACAGTCACAAAAATAGCACACTGAAATAACACAGTAACCAATCACAGCCATGGATTTTCCTGGTGAGAAGTGTAATTTCAAAGTCAACTGATCAGCGCATGAATAAAATCCAAAAATGAGACCTTTTTCAAGTGAGTTCTCGGGATATAACGTCCCCAACACTGATCTCCTAGTTGCATCTTGAACACAAAAGAAAAGAGGCGAAGTACGGAAAAATGCTTTACTCCTAGGTTGGTTTATTTACAGAAAATTGAGGGTACTTGTAGATTTGCATATGACCTTGGTCTTCTGGAAGTTTCCGGGATAGAAGATTATCCAATGGAAATCGCAGAAAATGATTCTTCATTTCCTCGATGCGTCCACGAAAATCCTACTCAACGCTGAATGGTTAAAACAATTCCAAGCATTTTATGGGCCCCAACATACATTTCCGAGGAATAATCTGAAACTCCCCAAGAATTTCAAACGAACATATTATTGTGTAGCATTCTTTCAAGTAGGCTTTCATTACTTTCATTTACTATTATTTGAATTTAATGAATGTTACTGAATGATTTTAATTTTGTTATTGCTAACCATTTTTATTTATCAGTAAAAAGGAATCGGAGGAAAGTATTCAGTGTTATCTAGTTTAAGTAACTCATCAATATAACATGCTTCTATGTTAAGTGGTTGAGAGTGATTTTGATTTACTTTTGATTGATTTACGCCTGTTACCGCCAATGAAGCATTGGCCACCAACCAGTTTTCTCCAATCAACTCTGTCCTGGGCTTCCCTTTCCAGTTCTTTCCGGTTTTCGTTCATTTTTCTCATGTCTTTCTCTATTTCTCGGCGTAATGTGTTCCTTGGCTGCCTCTTTTCCTTTTACTTTGAGGGTTCCAAGTAAAGGCTTCTCTTGTGACGCAGTTGGGTGCTTTTCGTAGTGTGTATCCTATCCACTTCTACCGTTTTTTCCTGATTTCCTCCTCCTCTGGAATCTGGTTTGTTCTCTCCCACAGTAGATTGTTGCTGATGATAGCTGGTTGAGAGTAGATGATATCATTATATCAACATGAAATATATTTAGTCATCACAGAATTGATCGATAATCAAATTTTGTAAGCACCTCAATCCTACAGGTTGTTAACCATTGCCAAAGGACAGAAGCTCAAATTATTTTGTAGTTATATTTCAAACTATAAATCTTAGTGACGTGCCTTCAAGTCATTTCAAGACTGCAAGTTAGTTTTGTCGACAAGTTCTACCAATAAGCATGAAACTAATTTCTAGGGTTTATATTCAACTAATTCCATTCACCTAAAATCTTGAATAAATTTTTGTACTTACACACTTCCATACTCTGGAGTAATTTAATATAGTCTGTTCGTGAAATATAATCACTCCCATTCTTCGTTCACTGCATCGAAACTTAATTCTCCTCAGAAAACGAACTGATTATGCTTCCAGCACTAAGTATATACCATTCAATTTATTACTGAGTTTTCTCACTAAACTTCCCTACCTGAAGATATTTTACACTAACACTGTCCCTAACGAATTGAATTAATTTGAATGGTATTTACCTTTGCACTTGAAACGTGGTAGACCTGAGATGCTGGCACATCCTGCTACAAACCGTTTCAATATATTTCTATTCAATATTTAACCCTTAAAAAGTAAATAAGATTCATTTTAAAATGATAGAATAAATCCATTGAAAATTGAATCCATGTTCAATGTTCAACTGTATTGTGTTTAAACAAACAAATGCATGAATACAAAGGGAAAAAAAAGTAAAAGATAAAATTTTAAAAACACATATTTGATGAAAACTATTGAATTATTATGATCAATTTTAAATAAATATTTCTGTTTATTTACTACAAACAAACAAAAAAATATTCAATTTATCATTTATTGTCCATTTGTTGATAACCATACACCTTTCATACACCATACTGAAAATGCATCACTTAAACATTGATTTGAATAGATTGATGTTGTCCGGTCTGGTTGTGATAATGAAAATTTATTCGATACAAATCTGTATTTCTTATTATCTGTGATATTGGCAGTAGGAGGAGGAGGAGGAGTACTATTACTAATAGTAGTACAAATACTTCTATTCTTTTCATTACAACATGTGGTTATTTCTGGCGTAACATTTACAGATGCTGATATTGATGCAGTAGAACATGACGACTCTGGTGATGATGATGACGATGACGATGATGATGATGAAGATGATGAAGATGATTGTTGACTAGAATTATTAAAATTAAATTTATACATTACATTATTTTGAACAGCAGAATATAATTCAAAATATTTATGTACATCATAATTACTATTACAACTATTATTATTGTTACTATTATTATTATTATTATAATACTGAAGGTCATAGTGACATTGATTAGCTTTGTTTAAATTATTGTCATACTGTGGTGTTACATTTTCAATAGGATTAAAATCATTTAGTGTACATGGAGAATCAATCAACTGTGTATTAATATTATTATTATTACTATTATTACTATTATTATTATTAGTTAAACAAGGAATAGTATATTTACTTGCTATTGGATAGATGTCATCTATGAATACGTCCAACTGACCATTTTGATGATTATATGATGAGGATGATAGAACTGTTCCTGTTGATGAAGATGACGACATTGAAGATGATGTGGATGTTTCAAGTACTTGAGATAAAAAATCAATATACCTAGGCAAAAGGAAAAAAAAGACATATTTCTTTCTCTGTACAAAATCGATTAAAAGACTCGAATATATCGTTATATATGTATATTAATCGAAAAGTTGATTGCTATAGTTTAAATGAATAATTGGTCATAGTTAGACTGGCATAAAAGATCTAGAATTCTATGGAACATCTGTTTCATCCTAACTGATCGACCAATTTGATTAGTTTGTCACTTCATGTTTAACTTGTCAATAAATTTAAATTACTCCTGTGATTGAATTTTTGACTTTTATACAAAAGAAGTGTGTTGTACATTTTCAGAATTCTTCATTACAAGTTTGATTATAATTCAAAATCAGGTCTAAACACTATTCATAACCACGTTAATTATGCCAAGAATGAATCATTAAAAGATAATTATGATAGGTTCGGCACTAGGTATGCATGGAACTATTACGGGTTCACCTTAGTCGATAAACGAGAACGAGACAATGAACCAGCGTCCCTGTAGGCTACCTTGATCTGCTGACTAATGAAAAGTCTTGACGTAGCGTAGAAAGTATATTCTACAACTACTCAGTAAGCGCTATGCAATCAAGTACATAAATCTTGTTTATTTATACACCATAGAAAAGTCCTTTGGAGAGTCACAAAAATAGCACACCAAAATACACAGCAACCAATCACAGCCAAGGATTTTCCTGGTGGGAAATGTGATTTCAAGGTCAGCTGATCAGCCCATGCTCGCAAACGTGAAAACAAAAATAAGGCATTTATGAAGCGAGTTCTGGCGATCTAACCTACTCAAAAAATTACAAATTGTGTTGAACAGACAAACATTAAAAATATGAACAGTTTAGTTTCAACTCAACAGTCTATACAGGTTAAGCATTCACGGGGAAATATGAAGGTTTTAGTGTTCTGTTGTTTGATGCTGCTGTCTGCGTTTTCTTTTGAGATGTCATATATACTGTCTGGTGCATCCTAGTTATATAAACAAAATTATTTCATGATGTAAGGTTTAAAACTACATTGGTCAATCAATTTTTTCAAACTGAATGGAAAGTACCATCAATCTACTAAGGAATTACTAACCACCTATCTTGAACTTGTCATCTTGACCTACCTGGATCTTAGAATCGATGTTCACTCTGGGATTCAGTTCGATTATCTTCCACTTTCATTGCTCACAACACATTATCCACTCCGTTATTTAATATAAACAGACACTCACTTGTGTATGTATGTACGTGTGTGTGCAAAGCGTATGAATTTTATTTTTGATTTGTTAAACTAAACGAAATTCAGCTACATCAATAACAATGGAATGATTAAAATTACATTGTTCAATTTTGATCGATTCATGATTTCAATGAGACTCGAAAATCTATGCAACCTTATAACGGCAATTATTATGTACTCACTGGTGACTGGCTTCATAAAGGAATTCTTGGAGTTCTAGTGAGAAACTGCAACCGGTAGAGTTTAACTATGTCGGATGTGATACATTTACTGATTAAAGACAACAGATCAAGGTCGGACAATGTGGTCAATTGAATAAAATTAGACTCTAACACCAGTGATTACCAGCTCAGTAATCTATATGTTAGGCGTTTGCATACTAGAGTGAAAGTCCTGGATCCAGTACCTGAAAGTAGGTTCATGGATGCATTCAGCTGATGAGTCCCATCCAATGCTTCCAGGTTTTTGATAGTGGCGGTCTAACATTGAACATGAAATAACTATCAATTATATTTATTCATAATGAAAACATAATATAATATAAACTAACCGAGTAGCTAATTTTAACGTTTGTATTTTACTCAATTTATCTGATGGTAATGTTGGTATAATACGACGTAATTCAGCAAATGCTTGATTTAATGATTGAGTACGTTGTCGTTCACGAACATTAGCTAGAAATCGTTGAGTTTGTAATTCTTCTGATGATGATGTTGATGTTGATGTAGAAGATTTTAATAAATTTACTGCACTAATATTATTCAAATTCAATGTATTACAATAGGTATCATAATCAATTTTATGAAAATTTTTCAAATTATTATTAGTATTATTTGTAAGTTTAAATGATTCAGTGGATTTATTAGTTGATTTGATATTTGTTTTAACAATCTTTGAACAATGAATCAAATTTAATTCTGATTGAGTATGATGATCTGACAATCATTTAAGAAATATAAGGAAGGAAAAAATATACACAAAATATTATGGATAAAATTAATTTTTGAGAAAAAAAAAAAGGAAAAACTAACATTTTGCACAAATAATGATTACATTTTGTTTGGTATTTATACTGTGTTAGGATATTGATCCAATATCATAAGAAGAGAACGAGTGGTCAATTCCTATTGGTTAATTTCTACTGGTCAATACTATGGTCGACCTAGATATCAATATCATGTGCTCCAATGTTGTTTCTTATTGGCCATCTTAACTGTCAATGTCACAGACATTCATGCTGTTCCCTATTCGATCAAAGTGCATAAATACGCATTATCTGTAATGTTTTATGACCAGTACCAGTACCCGGACCCGGATCCCTTGTCCGGGATCCTGATTCTCTTCTGGACTCAGACCTCGTACTTTCTGGATGCATGTAGAATACAGGTCCTACTTCATAATTAGTTTTCTTCTTTTATTCAATGGCGTAGGGATAATCGAATTAGAGTAGTCTGTCGTGTCGCCGGATCCTCGATCCTCGCTCTCGTTTACTGACTAAGGTAAACTCGTAATAGTTCAAGGATATCAAAATGACTTGTTTACGTGCAGGCGTAACACACTGATAAGTGGCCGTATTCAAAAATGTATCCTTTATTTGCATTGGTTGTTGAATCTAAAGAGTATTTTTTTTGTGAACCGTCTTAGTTTAATTGCAAACGATAAGTAATAACATTAGTTACAGAAGATTAGTCTACACCACCTATTAAAAGTGAATTACGAAAGAGGTCATCAAGATGAGAGTGAGTGCATCTAGCTGTTGTATTTCTAACTAAACATAACTCATATCCTGAACTTTTCTATAAAATTTTTCATAAAATATTATTAAAAAAGGATCAGTTTTTATTTTCCATGATGCTAAACTAACCAAAATAAAACAGGACACGATCATCTAAATGGTCCAGATTGATTTTAGGGTTATTAATGGATATATTCAAGTCAGTCGAGGATAAACTTCCCAGAAAATGTATTTGATTGAGCGAAAGAAGTAATCAGTTATTTAAAGAGTTATCATGAAGATTAGAACAACAGATCATTAAACAACACTGAGTTAATACAATAGTTCAATCAAAAGGTTTGTTTACTACAAACTATGCCGTTAGATGTTACCTATCTTATTTTTATAAAGTGTTCCAGAGATTTTTGTCCAGTGTCTGCTAAACTGAATCAGTCTGTGTTGTGAAACTTCATATAGTTAATCAGTTTCGAGAGTTAACAAATAAAAGTAAACACCAATGAGAATACATCCAATCACATGTACATAATGTAAACCAGAGTTACATAAAAATCTGCTAAAACATGAATCATTTTGAGTAGATTTATTCTTATTGGTTAAACTTAATGTTTATGAAAATAGTTGTGATCTGATTGGTTGACATTCGCATCTCATGTAAATACTTGACCTTAATGTTTTAGTGTGATTGGTTAGCGATTTTTGTTCAAATTATTTATCCATCTACTCAATCAGAGAAAAAATTGTATGCCTAAAATGTGATTCACAAGCAACAGTTATTTCAGATAATTTGAAATTGAATGGAACACGTGTTTAAAAGGAGTGTCAATGTTTGATTGATGAATAACATTGATGGGATGATTATAACAGAAGAAATGGAATAAATTTAGTGACAATCAAAAATTGAGGGAGAAAACAGGCAGCTCAGGTGAATGATACATGGAGAAACTGGAACACTTCACTTCTACCTGAAGTTTGTACTGATAATGTTGTTCAGATGAACATAGAAATCTCCAAAATCAAAACATCCATCTCAGAGAACGGAACTCCACCATATGCGATCATGAAAAGAAATACTAAACATTGAGAATATGGTTTGAAAAGCGAATACGTGAAGGTATACTGAAACTGAAGAAAGAAGACTGAGTACATCCATACCGTTGTACAATGATTCTGAGCAACATCATATAAAGTTTCTAATCAATGATTGAGGTTACCACATAGATCCCAACTAGGTAGTTTGTATCTACTAACATGGTGCAAACCAATTGTCACTAACACACGGAGTTAATTATTGCCCACTCGATCTTCACTACTGTAATCAAGAAAGGTTTTATCTACTTACATTAAAAACAATGTATACTTTTAGAGAGTCTTCAACTGAGGAGGAATTCAGTGACATCTAAAAATGATAAACATTTTTTAACCAATAAGAACGAATACTTGTATTGATTATTTTATGTTGTAAATATTGAAAACAGATACACTCGTTGTGACATTCGAAGTTTCTGAGCTAGAACACTGAAAGAAATCATGGATACTCACTTGTAAAGACTGTTGAAAATAAACAAAATACCTGTTCAATAATCAATGAAATGTAATAATTATCTCTTTGTTGTTCAGTTTACAATCTTAACTTCTTTCTGATCGAAAATCATCTTAAACTATGAGATAACTTCAAATAAACAAACAACATCACTGGAACCAGATTTAAACTGACAAAATACTTGTCAATAATTGAATTTTATTATTGTTAGGCTATTCACCGAAAACCCAAAGAGAATTACTTGTAAGTCTAATTCTATTGGTCAATTCCGATTGGTTAATTCTTACTGGTCAATATTATGGTCATCCTAGCTATCAATGTCACGTACTTCAATGTTGTTTCCTATTCGAGCTAACTGTTTAAATACTCATTATCTGTGACGTTTTATGACCAGGACCCTGACCCAATCCTTAGTCCGGGATCCTGATTCTCTTCTGGACTCGGACCTCGTACTTTCTGGATGCTTGTAGAATACATGTTCTACTTCATATCAAGTTTTCTTCTTTTTACTCAATATGAGGGTTTGGACACTCGGATTAGAATAGCATGTCGCGTCGCCGAATCCTCGATCCTTGCTCTCATTTCCTGACTCTAAGGTAAACTCGTAATAGTTTAAGCATCTCAAATGACATGTTTACATGCATGCGTAACAGTTATAAATAAAAATTTGTTGCCAGATAACATTACATATATTGTTTTATTTTTAAATGGATGATTTTATTTTAATTATCATGGATGATATATATTTACAAACATATTTATGATAAACTTAGATATATTGACATGAAATAATGAGAAACTGAATTTTATCATTTGAAATCAGGCACATAACCATCATCATCATTATCCATGATAATTGAAATAAAATCATCCATTCGAGAAAAAATAACAATATGTTATTTAACATGTGGTATATTTTTAAAAAAAAAAATTTAATTTCATTCTATTTTTTTTTTACAGATAATTTTCATTACCATATGTAAATTTTTGGATAAGTTCATATTGTGAAATAGATCAGTGTTCAAAATTCATCAACAATTTGCACTTATTCATCTTATATGGAATTGAATTTGAAATTGTTATAGTATGTGGGTGTGTGAGATTGGAGCATGATGTGTTAATCAAATTAAAACGGATAGTTGAGTAAGGAGGCGAGATTGAGAGACATAAAGTCTATTTGGTTACTGAATCATATATATATATATATATATATATATATATATATATATATATATATCACTGAATTATACTTTTCGAATCATATCTTCGCTCCCTAATATTCTCCATTACTGCTAATACTTCTATTATTGCTATCACTCTTGGATTTGAACTGACAGCTTCGTCTGTGTGCTGATGGGGCATGGCAACCTGAACTGATGTACTTACGTACGAAGTTCTGCGTTGTATCTGTCTGTCTATATTCCTCCTCTTTAGAAAATGAAACCATTTCTTGACCAATGACATGTGGTTGTCCTTTAGGACATTTCTGATTGTCATCAAATGATCTTCTCGTTCAAACACTTTTGAATGGCTCTCTCTATCAGTGAGCATGAAAATAATGTATCTAATCTCAGACATTACTGAATTTGCAGTGACAAATATTCAATATCTCTAACGACATCATCATAATTCCTAACATGTTTACATATACTTAGTCATGGTTCCTTACCGAAACCCTTAACATACTGTTTAATTGTAGTGGTGTTTCGTTCTCTGAGCTAGATATTTTGGTTGTGAAACGAAACACCACCACAATCATCCACTTGAGCTACAAATTTTCTCCACCATCTCAATACCGCGTTAATAAAATCAGAGTCACTCAGTGTTAAGAATTCTCAAACTAATATAAAGTCACTGTTGAATGCCCTGATGGTTTGCTTATTTCAATAGAAACTTGTATTTAGTATATAAGAATTTGTAGAGATTGTATAGTTTTTATAACTGAAATCATGAATTGATCTAAACTAAATCATGATTACAAATTTGGCAGCACTTAACAGTTGATTTATTTATGTTAGTATAGGATTCTTCAGCAGTTAGTTTATCTGTGAAGAATTCCAGTTTTGAAGTATCCTTTGTGTTATAGTTTAATCCTTTTTGGAGCATTTGTTCTCCTGTTGTCGTTAGGTGTTGTTTCGAAAGGTTGACCATCCGACTGTTTGCGGTTTCTTCTGTGGATGGCTTAGAAATCTGGATTAATCGAGATTTGTTCAGTAGTATGTATACATGAAACCAAGACTTTCAGTCTTAACAAGTGAACACTTTGCTGTTTAAACCACTTAGATGGTAATTTACTTAATTAAAAATGTGATTCATAAAACGTTTTAAATTATCGAATACAAATGTTTTTTTTAAATCTTAGTTTATATTGTCAACTGATTGATCATCATTGAAGAATCATTGAAGAAAAACAAGAAACACTGAATGGTGAGATTCAGCTCCTTTAGATTACTTAGCTACGACCTTTTCAAAAATTGAACTTAAGGTATTCAATTCTTGGAAAATAATTAATAATAATAATATTCAGAATAGATTTTGTATTGAACAGGTGGATAGTAATGCTCTCTACATTACTTAAATTCAACATTTCGATTCCTTCAAAGCCAACTCTTCTGCCTAAATGCAAGATTTTTGAAGGAGGCTTATAGTGAAGCATGAATCACAAGAATTAACCAGATTTTTCAACATTGAACTTTTAAATGACTTCTGTAATCCTTCACGAGGCTCGGCAGGGTAATGTTCGGAGATGAGTTTCGAAAGAGTTCGCTTTATGCTATTAATATAACTTGCTCCACACAAACAAGTAAATTGATAGATACGAATTGATTCGGCCCAAAGCGGGAGCTTATCCTTCACATATCTACAAATCTGTTATGCTCGTCACTTGATTTGCTTGAAACTATTACGGGTTCACCTTATTCGAATAAAGAGAACGAGGCAATGAACCAGTGACACGGTAGGCTGCTCTGATCCGGTGCCCCAAATGAACTGACGAAAAAGTCTTGATATATCGTAGAAAGTGCATTCTACAAACACCCAGCAAGCACAATGCAATCAAGCACACAAATCTCGTTTATTAATACATCATAGAGACGTCCTTGGGACAGTCACAAAAATAGCACGCTGAAATAACACAGTAATCAATCACACCCGAGGCTGTTTCTGATGGGAAATGTGATTTCAAGGTCAACTGATCAGCGCATGAATAAAATCCAAAATTAAGACCTGTATCAAGTGAGTTCTGGGGATCTAACGTCCCCAACCTAAAAAGATCATACTGAGTCCAGCCGAATAGAATGTTCTTCTCGAAGATATCAAGAGTTTATTTTTCAGAATGAAATTAAAATGATATAAATTTAAAATCTGATTGTTATATTTCACTCATTCTCTCAAAATTGAAGATAATTCTAGCTAATTAGTGTCACCTTGAACAAAACATACTTTCAGACTTCTTGTTGATGTTTTCCCTCTAATCGGTCAACAAACAAACAAATAACTGAATGTAAGCCAAATACTTTTGACGTTAACATAATAAAAACGTGTTATAATCATCGAAAGCCAGTCGTTATTCGAATAAGTCAGCAACACCTTATTTGATTGTAAGATCAAGAGACAGTAAATACTAGTTTCTTAAAATTTGTTGACAAATTTAAATGACAAGCTTAATTTAGTACAAACGTTGTGGTTCAGAATTTTTATGAAAATTGCATTTTTAATCAACCAACTTTATCTAACAAAGTAACATTGGAATCTTCAGTCAGTTGATGATCAGAATTCAATCTATATGATGATTGTTCATAGTTTATATTCGAAAATTCAAATAGAATTAACAGTTTTCAATAAAGAGTTGTGGGAATTGTTGAGCTTCATGGAAATCATGAATCAACCGTGTCAGATATGAGGCAATAATCCACCGAATGACGGAAATTAGAAATTAACACCGTTGGATGCCGGCTCATCGGTCTAGAGGTTAAGCATTCATGAACGAGATCGAAGGTACTGGGTTCGATTCCCGTGTGCGAAAGTCGTAAGGAGTCTGATACTAGAAAAAAATTGCCATCCAATCCTTATAGATGTCTAATGATGATAGTCTAACATTGATTAATTCATGATTTCAAAGAATCGAACACTCACACATACACTTATACACAAACACATAATTCCAACTCACTTTTGTTTGAATCCATTACATTTTCAATAACTTGCATTTTATCTAAATTTAAATAAGCCAATAAAGCTGATGTTGTAGTTGTTGTTGTTGTAGGTGGCGTGAGTGTTGTTGTTGTTGTCGTTGTTTTCATGTTTGATGATAACATGGATGGATTGATTTCATCTATCATATCAGTAGTTTGATCATGATTATTAGTAGTAGTGGTTGTAGTGGTGGAATTCATAATTGAATCATTAAATTGTTCCAAATTTAATGATGAATTATTTTTCTCACATAAATTGGAAAAATATTTCTCATTATCATAAAAATCATTTTCTATAATTAAATCTTCCATCACTGAAGGATAACTAGTCATTTCATAATGATTATGATAATGTTGATGATGATGATGATAATAACAGGGATTGTCAAACCATAAAATTTGTTGTTGTTTTGAATAAGTCGCCATTTGTTGTTCATTGTTCAATAGATGAAATGAATTCATGGGTAATGTATCATTATCAATATTACTACTATTATTGTTATTGGTAGTAGTAGTAGTAAAATTAGTTTTTGGTAAATTATATGAATAATTCCAAATATTATCTAAATGTGATGTTAAATGATACGATTGTTCAAGTGAATTATTATTGATGAATGAAATTTTATTATTACAAATAGTTCTGTCATCATAAACTTGTGACATTTTTTAGTTTTCTTAAACTTTAATATCACTAGATTTAATTTATATATGCCGCATAAGAAATAATATGCTTAGATAATTCCCTTCTACTGTCTAATGTCTATTAACTATTTTCTTAATGTAGTGAACAGAGGCGATTAAGGGAGGGCTTTATGTTTTAGTTCTTGTTTCTTTTTCCCTGTACATTTCTAGTTTTCAGTGAAAATGTGCTATCAAATCAACCAATAAGAAATTTTCTAAATTTTATAAATTGTACATTTAATGCACACAAATTGAAAAGGGATAGATAGTAAGTAATATGAAAATGGTGTACAATGGGTGTGTGTGCGTGTGTGTGTGTGCAGAGTGTTTTATTAAAGGCAATGCTACAAATGGTTGGTAATTGTTAATGGTGAGAAATGTAAGTGGAACAAAAACTATTTAATCCAATCAGAAAATGTATTATGCTAGTTAAGAATCTTCTTTTGCATTGATAGTTAAGACTGTGTAATTAATTGATCAGTGTCTCATTTGGTACATGTATGTGTGTACATTCTGTGCGAATTGCTTTCATAGGGCCATTAGGTTCCAAGCATTCTAAGCAGAGATGGAAGGATAAGAACTATGGATGGCAGGATGTACATTCAGCTACGGACGAGTCCCGAAAAGGATGAAATGGGCACCTTGCATTCCATGACTAGCCGCTATCCATCTCTGCTTATAATGCTAGTGACCTTGGAGGATTATCGAGGTAGTCTTCATAGGATGTACATATGTCAACAAAGATTGTTTAATTAAAGTCCTAACTATCAGTGGAACGATTTTAATAGTCAAGATAAATGAACCAAACTTCGCCAGACTGAACAATCCAGTGTACATCAACATTTAGATGCAGGTACATCTAGTTACAAATGAGTCTCAAACAAGAAGAGATGTGCATCTTGGATTCTACCGCTAACCACTATACGTTTCAGTTTACAATCATAAAATAATTTAGGATTTTTAGTGATCATAACAAACTGTTATCCATGTTAAGAAAAGAATGAAAACTTCTAAAAACTATTTTGCTATAAGAGGAATTTAAAGCGATATTACTGTGGTGTGCGCTACTTATAAGTAGTATATGACGTGAGTGTAAACGTAATGTCTGGCAGCGGAAGATGGGGGAAGATCAAGAAAGGAAGAGCGGGAACACAATGGAATTTGTATGAAACGCATGAATAGTGACAATGGATTGATGTTTTGCAACAGGAACAGTCCAGTTCGATATGATGAACTGATAATTTGCAAATGAACGATTTACGATATGGTTTTCCGATTTTACTGAGTAACTCTGTAATTTTCGTAAATACAATCCGGTTGCCCACCTGTGTTCTCGTTCACCACATTACTTGTTAAACAGTTATTCTAACTGAACTGCAAACTATGTAATAATAGCCAATTTTTGATAATGATATATTTAATCAGACTTAGACATTTTAAATGTTTTGAATATACTGATAAATTTTAACTACTGAGTCATAATTCAATCCACGATATGTTCTGTTTACATTGAAAACTGAATAATAGAGAGTCAGTTTAACATTACGTTAAAAAAGTATACATTTGAAGAATTTCATATGCAGGGTAGTAAACATCTATTCAGTTCATAGACATTTATCAAAAATATACTATTCGTTTGACAAATTATACTGTTAATATCGTTTAGTAGTGACTAGTAATAGACTGAATTCTAAATACATGTTTCATTCTATTTGGAATTCATCCAATGAGTTTAATCGCATACACCTGTTATCCTTAATCGAGCATAGGCCACCAAACAGCATTCTCCAACCTACTCAGTTCTCAGTCTTCTTTTCCAGTTCTAAACAATTGCTGGCCATTTTTTTTTATGTCTGCCTCCAATTCTTAGTGTAATGTGTCCTTTGGTCTGTTTTCTCCTTCTTTGACCTTGAGGATTCCAAATAAAGAGTTGCCTTGTGACTCATTTTGATAATTTCCATAAAATGTGTCCTGTTCACCTCCTTCTAGTAGAATCCAGTTTGTTCTCTCACACAGTAGATTGTTGCTGGTGTCTAACCTACAGATCTTCAATATCTTGCGAAAACAGCTGTTAATAAACGCTTGTATCTTCCGGATGATGGCTTTCGTGGTTATCTTAGATTCTGCTCCATACATTAGAACTGTCTTAACTTTTGTATAGAAAATCCAATCGGATTTACTAGTATCTTATTGTTGATTTTCGAAACAAGTCTTGAATCTAATACTAATTGTTATAAATCTCAAAGTGTCATTCATTGATTAAATTGTGGATTATTTCAGAAATCTATCAACATGACTCACTTCAGCAGTCGCTGATTTCATAGACTATGTCTTGATCTACCCATTCCTACGTTTCCTCCAACCTACTCCTACACTAGCAAACATCACTCATGGAGGTTGGTAATGATTCAGCTGACCTTAGTACAGAGATTACTAAGAAAACTTAAATGTTTCTCTGTATATTTTTTAATTAGAAAATGGGTTCACATAAGAAATGTTTGATGATACGTCAGAATGACAACATATGAAGAATTCAAAAAGAGCAACCTTGTAAACTTCCTTGTTATAATCTATACAATGAAAGCACTGGTTAGCACTAATTGGAAAGATGACCTTAAATTATCACACATGTTAAACGGAGTGGAAAGATGCAGAATGACAAAAGTCATCATGCACAAGATACATGTGTTTAATAATAGTTATCCAAGCAAAATACTGAGAATACGTTGGTCAGACATTATTAGCAGTAATCTACTACACATGATCTTAGCTCAGAGAGCCGAAAAGCGAAGACATCATTGGCAGTAATCTATAGTCATTTATTAATGTCTATTATATAGATATGCAATATAATTTTTCATTAACGAGTTATGAAGATTGTTGTTTTACATTGAAATCATGAATCAATCATTGTTAAGCCACCATTAAATACCTGGAAACACTGAACAGCCGTTTCGTCTTAGTATGCGACTTTTCAGCCGTGTGCATCCACGACGCCCATTCGTGAGAATCGAAACCAAGACATTTAGTCTCGCATGTGAACGCTTAACATTTTTGGCCACTGAGCCGTCATTCAACAATGTAATGTCTAATTTTGTTCAATCTAAGGTATTGCGCTACTTCATACACTGTCTTTGGTAGGTAACTACCTGCACCACCGCTGGTCACAGCTTCTCATTAGAACTCCGTGATTTTCCTCATGCAGCTGGTCATCCGTGAGCACACACCAGGACGAAACGACCGTCCAGTGCTGCCAGGTTTCTAATGATGGTCTAACAATGATTGGTTCATGATTTCAGTATATCCAAAATGTAGTTCCAAATGTCACGTGATAGATATAATATACATAGCATACAGATCAAGTATAATTTATGAATTAGGGTGAAATCTTCATACATATGAAATTACACTTTTAAATGTTCTCTCTTCATTTATGAAGTAAATAAATAACTGATCATCATAAGTTCTGGATCTAAATCACTACAAATAATTTGAGATGACATTTGCATAGAAACTGTTAGTACACATTAAACTTTCCTTGAACAGAAGTATTTTATTTTCAATGTTTAATTCTCTTCACCATGAAATTTTGAACGAAGATACTCATCGAAAACTATAGAAGATGATCATACAACTAGACCATCCGATTCTAGCCTAAAAGATTAAAAGTTAAGAGTTCATGTGAGCGATCAAAAATCCTGGGTCTTAATCACGGTTGTCGAGTTGTGAATTCTCATTGCCAAAGATTTCTATCCTACAGCACATCCAATGCTTCCAGTATAATGAACTAAAACAGTTAATGGTCAGATGGAATCCATGATTGAGTTGAAGAAGATACAGTTTACTAACAAAATATTTTCACCTTATCGTCAGATTTCCATTTGTAAAACAAGCAGATTATCTTGGCTCTCATTTCTTCCATCTGTCGTTTATTCATCAAAACATTCTGTTCATGCCATATATCCGGATCTAACAGTGTTTGCTTCTGCAATAACTTTTGAATAACACTCTACTGTATACTACTCATAAACTACCTTGTGAATAGTATCCACTATACCAAGTATTTAATGATTTTCTGTTACGCTTGCTCCTAGGTATGCTTAAACTAAGACGGGTTCACCTTGGTCGAATAAGGAGAACAAAACAATGAACCAGCGTCCAAGTAGGCTATTGTGACCCCTTGACCAAAATGTAGCAGCAAGAAGTCTTGATATAGTGTAGAAAGTGTATTCTACAAACACCCAACAACCACACAATGAATCCATGTACTCAAATTGCGTTTATTTATACACCATAGAGACGTCCTTGCGATAGTCACAAAAATAGCACACTGAAATGACACAGTAACCAATCACAGACAAAGATTTTCCTGGTGGGAAATGTGATCTCAAGGTTAACTGATCGGTCCATGAAATAAATCCAAAATAAAGATATTTATCAAGCGAGTTGTGGGGATCTAACATCCCCAACATTTTCTGAGATCAGTTTTCAGTTTTATTGAAATTCAACACCACTTCATTCTAACAAAATTAATAAATTTAATTAAAATATTCCATCCTATTAATTCGTTCGTCAAACAATAATAATAATATTATCAATCACATGTCATAATTCAATTTTTGTTTGTTCAAAATTCAATCCATCTTTAATTTTTACTACAAAAATCATTTGTAGTTTGTTTAACAAAATTTTAAAAACAAACGATTTATTCTTCCGTTTTTTTTGTCTATAGAAAATCTAAACTATAATCTAATTAACTTTTATTCGTCACTGATCCCTCCGCTTCTTCTCCTCCTCTTTCATACATTGTAAAACTTTTGTCAATGTTCAATTTTGTAGAATTTACCTCAAATTTTTTAAGTTTATGTGATGATAGTCAATGGTGTTTATAATGAATAATGAAAATAACTGTTAATTAAGTGGATTTCAGTGATGTCACGTAGAGAATTATGTAATGTATATTATGTATGTACGTATATATA